ATGCCAGTTGCCTGTGGACCCCATCTCTAGGCACAGTGCTCATTCTTAGGGCCAGTCTGAGTGCACTTGTGTCCATTCTAAGCATTATTTCTTAGGCACTGTATGAGTATAAGACAGTAAAGCTCTCTTTGAGGCCAGCAACCATCCCGGGGAACCACCTAGAGAAGGAGAGTGGGCTGGTCTCTGCATACCAACCGTCGAGATTCCTATGATTCCAGGTCAGCCTGGAGGAGGTGATAGCACTCTGTCCATCCCCTCCGTGACCTGAAGACCAGCTCTGCAGGACTGGAAAGGACCATAAGCTGCATCTTTTCCAGCCCCTTTACCTGGTTTAGGTTGCCAGGAGGAAAAGTGGCCTACCCAAGTCTCATGGGATGTTACTAGACTTGGGACTGTAAATAGTGTGTGTGGTATTAAAGAGAGTGTCTGCCTTTAATTCTTGGCTTCTCACATTTCAGGCTGTGTCCTCACTGGACTGGAAAATGGGGAAAATAATAAACCTTTGCTTCCCACGGTTGCTGCAAGGATTAAATGAGCACACATAAAATATATAGCAAGCCCTCTACAAATAACATTTCTATTACTCATGTCTTTACTCTGTATTCTTCCTCCAGTGCTTTGCAGCCACACCACATTTGAAACACCCCGTATATCGATTTTGGAATATCCTCTCTGCTGTGAAACTATGTGGGAATAGGAGCATTGTTCTGGGATGCCAGTTTGGAAACCTGATTGGAACTCTGCCTCTGGGGCTCTGCATTGCTCTGTAACCTGCCACAGGTCATCTTTCCTCTCTGGCCCTCAGTCTCTTCCTCTGTAAGAGCACTGTCCAATGAGAAAAAGAATGTGAGCCACATTCTATATATATTGGGTTGGCCAAAAAGTTTGTTTGGGTTTTTCTGTAAGATCATATGGCAAAACTCAAATGAACTTTTTGGCAAACCCAATAATTGTAAATTGTTCAGTAGCCACTTTATAAAAAGTAAAAAGAAGTAGGAAAAAAGTAGTTTTAATAATTGATTGTTGTTCAGTCGCTAAGTTGTGTCCTACTCTTTGCAACTCCATGGACTGCAGCACACCAGGCTTCCCTGTCCTTCGCTATCTTCTGCAGTTTGTTCAAACTCATGTCCATCAAGTCGGTGATACTATCTCACCATCTCATCCTCTGTCACCCCCTCCTCCTTCTTTCTTCAGTCTTTCCCAGCATTAGGATCTTTGCCAATGAGTCAGTTCTTCACATCAGGTAGCCAAAGTATTTGGAGTTTCAACTTCAGCATCAGTCCTTCCAATGAATATTCAGGGTTGATTTCCCTTAGGGCTGACTGGTTTGATCTCCTTGCAGTCCAAGGGACTCTCAAGAGTCTTCTCCAGCACCCTAGTTCTGTGTTGTACCTAATGTAGTATATCCAAGAAATAATCATGTCAACATGTAATCAATACTAGAAAATTATTGAATGAGATATTGTATACCTTTTTTTCTTATTAAGTTTCTGAAATCTGGATGATTCTCGATCTGGGGCAATTTTGACAATTGTCTGGGATGTTTTTGGTTATCAGAACCAAGAGGGGTAAAGGATGGCAGGCAGAGGTATGTGTGTGCGACTGGCCTCCAAAGGGCAGAGACCAGGGATGCTGCTAAACTCCCTACAGTGCATAGGACAGCCCCCCACAACAGAGGTTATCCGGCCCCAAATGGTAACAGTTCCTGTTTTACACATAAAGCACAGTTCAGGTTAGCCACTTTCCAAGTTCTAAATAGCCACATGGAGCTGGTGGCTACCATATTGGACAGTGCAGCTCTATAACATAAAATATTTGGACATGCACTTAAAAAGCCAAATTCTTAGGAATTTGGGTTTTAGTAAATTTGTTTTCCTGCTCATCCCTGAATAAGTGGCCAAATGAGATGTGGCTGGTTCACCCATCCCTGGCTGGCTAAGGACAGAGCCCATCTGTCCCTGACTGGTTAGACTCTTCCAAAGCTACCCGCCCTGCCCTGGGAGACTGAGCCTGGGCCGGACAGTGGACCCTGTTGTTCTTTTCCAGGGAGACAATGCTGCAGGCCCTGCTACCTGCCTGACAAGGCTATTGTGGCTCAGGGAGAAAAGGGCTTTGTCAGGACAGCAGCCGAGCAGCCTGCAGTTCAATGGGGCCCTTTATGTCTGAGCTCCCGGGATGTTCGATGCTGGCCCTGCGGAGGCTCCACCCCCTCCTAGAACAAACAGGGACCCGGCGGCCCAGAGAGGGTGTGGAAGGCCCTCCAATAGATCCCGGTTCCCTCCACCTCAGCCCTTTGCCCTAAAACTTGAAATCCATCTAACTCTGAGAAGCCCTGCCTCAAAGCACAGAGTGAACTCAGTATTGCCCTTAAACTGGGCAAGGGGGCCCGACCCATACTCTGAAATTTAGCAGCTCCACAAATCACAAGCATGTATACAATTAATCTATTAAAGAACACGCATGTATTTGTCTCCCATGATCTAGGCTCAGCTCTGGCACAAGGCAGTGATAACCCAAGATCTTCTCTTGTGACTTAAAAAGCCCAGGCCAAAGCGAAGCACTCCATCTCTCTTGTCCTGTGTCCTTGGAATAATGCAGTGAAAGTTTGAGGGTTGTACCTTGGCCAGCCTCAGAGATGGCTCTGTTTTATAGCACAGGTGGGATCTGAGTGGCAGAAAGGCTTAGCTAAGAGTGTGCGCATGCTCAGTTGTGTCTAACTCTTTGCGACCCCGTGGACTGTGGCCCGCCAGACTCCTCTATTTTCCAGGATTTTCCATGCAAGCATACTGGAGAGGGTTGCATTTCCTTTTTCCAGGGGATCTTCCCAGCCTAGGAATCGAACCTGTGTCTCTTGCATCTCCTACGTTGGCAGGCGGATCCTTTACCACTGCACCATCTGGGAAGCCCAGGTAAGAGAAAAGACAGACTAAATTCTCTTGTCATGTCCTCCCTCATTCATTTTTCCTGTAATGAAGTATCATTTCCCAGGAGGGCCAATCTATTTCTTGCTGCTGTGCTTTCCAGTTCACGCTGGTCTTGAGAAGTACTCACCTCCATTTGAACTCCAGCACCACATCCCTCCAAGGTTAGGGACAGGCTTGGATGTTAGGGGTAAAGACACATGAACTTGGATCTGTTGCTTCCCTTTCCTTTCTAATCTCTAGACCTCTGCCCTACCTACCCTACGCTAGACCCCATGGTAAAGTTTACAGATAATGGATACACACAGACACACACACAGAGACAGAAAGGAGCAGAAAGGGCTGTCTTATTTGACAGGTAAGGAAACTGATCCTTCTGGAGACAAAGTAACTTTTTTAAGTCATTCAGTAAGTTAAGGGAAGCCACATGCTGGAAGAACCCATCCTTGGAGGCCCAGCTAGAAGGCCACCAGTAAAGAGGGGAGGGTGGTGGTTGGGGAGACAGCTGGGGGCATGGCAGCTCTTTTACTCCTGACACCATCACTTACTGGCTATGGGACCTTGTGGTGGTGGGAGGGGTGTGTTTCTCAGTATTTAAAATACGACTTTTTCTATTCCTATATAAGATGTTATTATGGGAAACTGGTGACAGGTACATGGGAGCTCTCTGTAATATTTTTTTAACTCTTCTATAAATTCAAAATTATTTCGTAATCAAAAAATTATACAACTTTCCCTTATCTATACCATGGAGAGTAGCCTCCGCCTCACAGAAAGCTTCAATAAAATATGCCTGTAAGGCTTTAGTACCTGTTTGGGAGTGAGGACTCAGTAAATAACTACTTTAAGAAGCTATTTTCTCCAGGAGGCCAGTGACCTAGCAGAACTGACCACAACATGGCACTTCCATGTCCTCACTACTCGGGAGCACAGGATTATTTTGGCCTAAAATGCCAGGCTTGGTGTGGCTGCTAGGAGCATGCATTTCATTTGGGCTCTTCCACTTCCTAGCTGGGACCCTGGGGCAAGTTGCTAGATCTCTCTGTGCCTCAATATCCTTTCTTTAAATCATAAAGCTGCAAGTAAGGTTGTCGTGAGGATTAAATGAACTGGAGACTTTTCAGCACTAACGGCTGTGACTGGCCCATAAGCAAGGACTGCCCAAGTGTTTTTATGGTCCGGCTCAGTGTTTCTTGAACTTTTTACTAGCCCCCACAATAACAAATGTACTTTCCCTCACCTCCATTTTTCTTTTCAATGGTGATTTGGAAAGCCCCAGTCTCTGGGGAGTTGATCCCATTTTGTTTCCCCTATTAATGATACATAAGGTTCTTAGGGGACAGGGAATATTTCTGATTCATTTTGACCTCTAAGCACTTCATTCCCTTCTCTCATTTCAGTTTACCAAGTTTCCACCCTCATTCATTCCACATACATGAATGGACCATTTGTTGAATACCTCCTTTGTTTGTCTGTTACCTATTAGTGTCCCCGTGCTGATCAGACCTAGGTTGAATGAATGAATAAGGCAGGGAGGCGGAAAGGCAGGCAGAAAGGGGGAAAAAAAAAAACCAGGATCCCAGGCACCCCTGGCCCGAGAGGGCTCCAGCTGGCAGCAGAGCCCCCCTTTCCACCCCCACATTCCCACTTCCACCTCGGCCAGAAAGTTACTCCTTCTGCAGCCACGCTGCAGCCCATCAACTGTGTCATGGGGACGGAACTGGGTGTCGTCTGGCATCGCGCGGCGGGGCGGCGCCCGGGGCCCGCCCTCTCGCACCCTGCGGTGTGCGGTGGTGATCCCTCGCAGTGCGCCGGGCAGCCTTCACACCCCAGGAGGGCATGCGCCCCTCCGCGCGCAGCTCGAGCACAGAGCCCCCGGCCCGCGGAGTTGCCCAAGAGGCCGGGTGGCTCCTCCCCGGGGACCCTCCCCCTCTGCGGCGCGTCATTCTCCCCACCCCGGTCCGACCCCAGCGGTTCCTCTCACACCGGCCACGCTGGGACAGTTCTCAGCCACCTGCTCCGGAGCCGGGAAGCCGGGGCGCCGGCAGCCCGTGAGTCGGTGCGCGTGCCCAGAGCCCCATGGAGCTGCCGGCCGGCAACAGCAGCTGCGAGAACGGTGCGTGGGGCCGGCGGGGACCGGCAGGGACCCGGTGCACCCTGCGCTTTGCCTTCCCGTCGCGCTGCTCCTTTCTTCCGTGTCCTCTCCTGCCAGGGGACCCCAAACGGGGCAGGGGGTCCTCACTTGTCCCCCCCACCTAGTTCTCAGGCCCGTCTTGGGAAGGAGGAGCATTCTGGCTGACTTTCCTCCTCTTTGGACCTGGGGGGCGGGGAGGGGGTGAAGAGGGGGCAGTGGGAGAAGGAGGCGTGGCTTGATTGTTTGGAGCCGGTCCATCGAAAGGATTGAGGGGAGGGTGTCGGGATTTCTTTAATGTGTAGTTGCTTTGGATATTAGTACCTGCCCAGGCCTGTCTCCCTGGGGCTCACCAGAGATAGGGTAGTGTGCACAGAGCCCCACCACCCCCAAACCCATATCCACCTTTTAGGAAAACGAGGGAAGGAACAACCCGGGAAAGGAAAAGGAAAGATGCTGAGCCTCATGCTCGAGTTCTGAACCTGGGGAGTGGACTAGCCTCTTCACTTGTATTATCCCAACTAATCCTTAACACAGCTCTAGAAGGCAGGTAGATATTACCACCTTTGTCATCATTCCAACGACAGACAGAAGTTGAGGCTCTGAAAAGTCTGAACTTGCTCAAAGTAATACAGTGGGGAAATGGAATATAAAACCAGGGCTCTTGGATTCTAAAACCTGTGCTTACACCACTGTGCTCACCCCATTTTCTGGCATATCTCCATTTTTCTACCTGTCTTGGTTTTGCATCCTGTGGAATATCCCTGTTTTTCTAACTTCTCTTCTCCAGTGAAGCTTTCAAAACAGGCCTTTTGGGTGTTAGCTGTCTTTGGTTTTCTGAACAACATTTTCAGCCTCACCTTCCCCTGGGGACACTTTCTGGTCCTAGCATATTCTAGGGGAGAAGTAGGGATCATCTGACCCAGCATCCATTTGTCAGCGGCGCATCCTCCTCAGGATTGAGTTCCCTTTGGCCCTCAGCCTTCCCCCCCTTTTCTTTCCACCCCTATGGGAAGACGTGACTTGATGGAGGGCACTAAGCTCCTTGGCTCCTCAGGCCTCCCCCAAACTGCCAAGTCCACCCTTTGGCTCCACCTGCTGGAAATGTACCTTCAGGAGGGCAGGGGAAGGGCGTGGGGATGGGCTTGGACTTCCTCTGGGGAGCTGCCTTCCTTGGCTGGCATCCTCCCAGCTCTGGCTCTTTTCCTGAGCCCAGGGAACTCCCAGGACTTGACTCCTGTCCAAGTTGAAGAACAGGAGTGAGCAGTCAGGACAAGTCTGATTAAGGACTCAGATGGTTTCTCGTCTCCTCTTCTCTGGATTGTGACACAGGTGTGGGGAAGAGAGGTCTCCCACTGCAGAAGATGCCTGGGTGTCTCCTGCTGCGTTCCAGACCCAGTTCTGCCTCTAGGCTTTTGTGAGACTCAAGCAAATCCTCCCCCATCTCAGAGCCTCCGTTTTCCCAGCTTAAAGAGAGAAGGTTAGATGGGCTGCTGCTGTTCCATGCTTTCTATGCTGTGGAAGAAAGGTCAACATTGCCCTTACTTCGTTCCACTGAAATGCCACTCTGTGCTCCAGATGTGCCAGAGCTAAAGCTGCCTCACCTTTTGGGCATTGAGGCTCTTCCAGTGCAGGTCCAGAGGTCTGGCTTGGCCCGAGGAGAAGTGCCAGGCCCAGCCTTATATCCTTGGCACGGGAGCTTGGGTCTTTGTAACACACAGTTTGTAAAAGACCTTCTACCACCAAAAGTCACAAATTCAGATGTTTCAAGGGGCCGAGAACATAACAACAATGACTGAAGAGAGCTGGGTCTGGACTCTGGGGAATCGGAAAGATCGTGTTCTATCTAGGGGCAAAAACCCTTGTTGAGCTGCGGCCAGTGGTCGCCTGTGTGAGAGTGTACCCAGCAAGGTAAGCAAAGGCAGCCCTGAAGTGAAGTTTTTGTGGGAAATCTGATTTTTAAATGTGAGCAGTGAGTTCATATTTTAAGATAACCTTCAAGAAGCTAAGTGGAACCCAGCCCCCTTGCTGCCTGCTTTGTGGAGGATATGTAGTGACCAAGAGCATGGGCTTTGGCATTCTATGCACTTGAGAAATAATTCTGGTTTAACTGCTTATCAACAGTGTAACCCCAGGTTACTGAGCTTGTCAGGGCCCCAGTTTCTTCAGGTAAAACCCTGGGCATCATCACTGTGCCATTTCTATGACAAGGATGCTCCTGGAAAGTCCTGGAGCAGTGGGCCCTGTGAGTCCCAATCTGTGTTTTGTACTGATTCCTTGAACCTGAGCAGCTTCATTCTACTGACTAAGGGTCTGCTCCTCATGCCCAGGTTTGTCCTCTTGTCCTTGCTCTTTGGGCCAGAAGAACCAGCAAGAGTGTGCTGGCTGAAGGGCATGAGAACTGATGACTCTTGCAGACTTGGGGACTTGGAAAGAGAGCCTAGACAAAGCCTGTGTGGGATGGCAGGGACCCTGGTTCCTCTGAGGCCTGAAGGAGGCCCCAGCCACTGACCATGTGCATCAGAAGTCTTCAAAGTAAGACCTGGGATGGTTGGTTCTCATAGACAAAGGTGCTGGTATTTCATCACCTTCAGGCCCCAGAGGGGCTGTGCACTCCAGCCTCACTCCCTCCTGTTACTTGTAGGGACTCCCTGCTGTGGCTGGAGTTAAGTATATGTAAGTGAAGAAGCCTCTGGAAGGGGAGAATATGTGTGCTCCTGAGCTGTTGGATGCCTCTGTGCCCGGAGGGTGGGAGATGTTTCCTGTGGAGGCTAGGAGGTTGGATTCAGTGATGCCTGAGAGCTGGGAGGACCCCTGTTTGGTGTATGGGAGCATCTTTCTGGCTTAATGATGAGGTGCTGGAGCTCCAGAGTCAGACAGGCTGTGTTCTTAGGCAAGTTTCCTGACCTCTAGTGGCCTCCATCTCCACATCTATGAAATGAGAATCAAAGACAGTGCTTACCTGACATGTGGTTGGAAGGACTTGATGAGTTCATAAAGTCCGTTGTCTGGACTCAGTGACCCTTAACTGTTCCTTTTTAGTTTGGAGCCCAGGATGTGGATGGAATGCGGCAGTAGCTGAAGGGTGGAGTCAGAAACAGTGGCCAGTCCCAGTGCTTCTAAAGCTCGCAGATGTCCCCACCTGACTTTCTCACCATGCTCTTCCCAGGTTCCCTGATCAGCCTGTACTGCTCCTCCCAAAGAGTCCTGTGCCAGATCGTCAGTGACCTCCAGCCCGAGGTGCCCAGCAATGTCACCTCCGACAGCTGGCAGGAGAGGTTCAGGAAGAACTACAGCTTCTACGTCGGTCTGGGGCTGGCCATCCTGTCCAGCTTCCTCGTCGGCAGCAGCGTCATCCTCAAGAAGAAGGGCCTACAGCGACTGGTGGCCTCGGGTGCCACGCGGGCTGGTAGGCTCCTGAGGGGGCAGGTGCGGATGGGGTGTTGGGTGGCGAGCCCTCAGCCAGCCCTGTGAGCCTCTATTCATGCACCCACTGGAGCAGCTTGCAAGCTGGTCCTAGATGGGCACAAAAGCCTTGCTGTCAGTCCCATTGGGAATCTCCTCCACCAGCAGGAGACCCTCCTTTATAATCCAGTAGTTCATGAGAACTACATGATCAGTTAATTGGGGTGAAGACAGGGAAAACTCCCAGGGCCAAGACTAAGAAAACCCCATGTCTAGTTCCGTTTTTTTGTTTTTGGCTGCCCCAGGTCTTAGTTTCGGCACTCGGGATCTTTGATCTGTACGCGGGATCTATATCTGTGGCATGAGAAGTCTTAGTTATGGCATGTGGGATCTAGTTCCCTGACCAGGAATCAAACACAGGCTCCCTATATTGGGAGCATGGAATCTTAGCCACTAGACCACCAAAGAAGTCCCCTGGATTTATTTCTTACCAGTTGTGTCATTGTAGGCAAGTCATAACTTCCATAAAAAATGGGAATATAAAACTTCTGCCCATAACAGTGTCAGACAGTAATGTGTCCTCACTTACTATCAATCTGAGCTCCTCTATAGGCTACAAAAGAATTACTGAGTCTCTGTCCACTGGGATTTGCTTGTTTGGAAAATAAGATGTGTATCCATGAAACAGTTGTTGAGAAAAGGAGTATGTAAAAGAATCTCTCCATTTAGGGACATCATTCATTATGTCCCTACTGTGTGCCAGGTGTCATGCTAGACCTGGGAACACAGTGCCCTTGTGGGTCATTGGGCTGAGTGAGAGGGAGAGGCAAGTCAATGAGCAATTGTTCTGTAGCATGTTAAGTGCTATCATAGGGAAAATGCTATCATGGGGAAAATGGTTTTTCCAGTGGTCATGTATGGATGTGAGAGTTGGATCATAAACAAAGCTGAATGCCAAAGAATTGATGCTTTTGAACTGTGGTGTTGGAGAAGACTCTTGAGAGTCCCTTGGACATCAAGGAGATCAAACCAGTCAGTCCTAAAGGAAATCAGTCCTGAATATGCATTGGAAGGACTGATGCTAAAGCTGAAGCTCCAATATTTTGGCTACCTGATGCGAAGAACTGACTCACTGGAAAAGACCCTGATATTAGGAAAGATTGAAGGCAGGAGGAAAAGGGGATGACAGAGGATGAGATTGTTGGATGGTATCACCAACTCGATGGACATGAGTTTGAGCAAGTTCTGGGAGTTGGTGATGGTCAGGGAAGCCTGGAGTGCTGCAGTCCATGGGGTCGCAAAGAATCAGACACAATTGAGCAACTGATCTGAACTGATGGCAATATTTTGGAGGGGCATGTAAATCTTAGGCTTGGAGGGTAGGGGAGGTTTTCTGTAAAGGCTAATTTGAGGAGCTGAGACTATATGACATGGAGATAACAAGGTGGGAAAAGAGAAAGATGTAGAATTCCAGGCAGAAAGAACAGCATGTACAAAGAAAGGCCCGGGGTAAGAAAGTGTGATTGATATTAGAAGTTGCAAGTATCACGGGATGGCTGGAGCATGGAGGGATAAGGGATGGGGTGAGGGCCAGCTAATGAAAGGTCTTGTAAACTAGGCTCCAGGGTTTAAGTGTAATTGCAAGTGACGAAAATTTTAAGCAGGCATAAATGATGTAGTTCAATTTATGATTTGAAAAGACCCCTAGCTTCTGGGTGCAAACTGGATTTGGGAGTAAGACTGGAGGCTAAGAGAAAAGTTAGGGGAGAAAAACAACAGAACTTGGGCAAGGAAACTGTGGTGGGAATGGAGACAAGTGGTGGAGTCCAGGGATAGTTTTTGAAAGTAGAATGTACTGAGTTCGATGGTGCCTGACTCGAAAGGGAGGGTGAAAAAGTGAGTCAGGATGACTCAGAACTCTCCGATTTGAGCAAATGGGAAGATGATGGTGCTATTTTCTGAGATAAAGGATTCAGGAGGAGCAGGTTTATAGGAAGATGATGTGTTCAGGTTTGGACGTGTCCAATTTAATGTTCTGCTTGACACTGAGCTTTGGAAGCAGACTCCTTGAGTACCAACTGTAGCTCCTTGGTTCCTGGTGATGTGATCCTGGGCAAGAAAACTCATTTTTCTGTGCCTCAGCTTCCTCATCTGACAGACTAGGGATAGGAATAGTCCAGGCTAAAGGATTGTTGTGGAGATATGTAGTGTGTTTAGAGAGATGCGTGGCAGAGACTAAGCACTAGTATTAGTATTACTGTGATCTAAGTGGGAGGGCCTGCACACAGCTGGATACCCAGGACTAGAATCAGATGTGCTCTAAAAATGGAGAGCTGTGAGGTTTGGGGATAAAGTCGGAGTCAGCAGTCATTGCTGCTCTATCTATCTCTGCTTCCGGACAAGTGTTCCAAAGGCCGGAGACCTCCTAAAGTCCCAGAAAAACAGCTGCTTGCACTCAGGAGAGAGCAGGGCAAGTATCATTGATCATTCAGAAAGGCAGCTTTCCTGGAATGAGTTTTTTTTTTTTTTTAATCTACTATTTCAATACCTTCTGAGATTTCAACTCAATAAAATGCTCTCAGAGCTCTTAGCTTCTATGAGAGATTCTGACTCCTTTAAGAACCTGATGAAAGCTAAGGGCTATCTTAGAAAAATGGGTATTTACAAAAAACCACATTCAAGTTTTAAATAAAACTGTCTAAAACCCATCCTCCTCTTCCCCCTCATCGTTAACCTTGAGTTTTGACTGGGTGCCAGGCTCTGAGTCCATCATGTGACCAAAGCAGACACAATTCATGGCTTCGTGGAGCTTCCATTTTAGTAGGGGAAATGCCAGAAAATAAATAGATCAAATTATAGACAGTGTTACTAAGGAGAAGAACTGAGTGTGATAAGAGAAAAACCCAAGGGAGGGCATTTTAGGGGAAGCAACGTTCAAGCGGAGACCTGTAGAGTAAGTAAAGATATAGGCAAGTATTGTTAAGAAGACTATTCTGAACATGGAAAAACACACACAAAGCCCTTAAGGCCAAAACAAACTCATCATTTTTGAAGAACGCAAAGACAGCCGGAGTGGCTAGACTATAGAAAGAAGAGTGGTGGGAGATGCCTTTGGAGAGGTGAGCAGGGTCAGGACTAGGATCAGGCTTGTTAGGAGTTCTGGTCTTTATCCTAAGAGTATTTTGAAGCCACTGGCCAGCTCTAAGCTGAGGAGTGACATAATTGTTAAAAACCCCTGGCTACTATGAAAGTGATGGATTATAAAGGGACAGGATTGAGCTGGAGGAATCCTAGGAGGTGGTTGCCTCCACCCAAGCCAGAAGTAATAGTGCCTGGGAGTTGGGTGGTAGCAGTGGAGTGGACACGTGTAGATGCTTTTTGGAGACAGAATGCACAGGGTGGACTGGATGCAGACTGTGGAGTAGTGGGAGGGGCCAGTGTGATTCCCTGGTTTCTGGATCAAGCAACTAGATACACGGAGATGCCCCTTACTGAGTTTCATTTGGCGGGTTATTGTTGTTTTGGTTGCTAAGTCTTGTCAACTCTTCTGCAACTGTATGGACTGTAGCCCACTTGGTTCCTCTGTCCATGGGATTTCCCAGGCAAGAATATTGGAGTGGATTGCCATTTACTTCTCCAGGGGATCTTCCCAACCCAAGGATCGAACCTGCATCTCCTTCATCACAAGTGGATTCTTTGCCATTGAGCAAACTGGGAAGCCCTCATTTGGTGGGTGGGAGCATTTTAAAATCAAGAGTTCCATTTAGGATAGAGTTTGAGATACCTGTGACAGATCCAAGAGTTGTTGAGTAAGCAACCAGATACACATCAGGGCTCAGAAGAAAGGATCAGGATGCATACATGAACTAGGGACATGAGCATCCAGATGGAGTTTAAAACTTTGGAAAGGATGCACTTGCCAAGGAGAGGGCCCAGAAGGAAGCCTGGAGGATGCACCACAGCTGACGTGTACTGAACCTTTAGAGACTGGGGAGTGAAGGGAGGGAAGGAAAGGTCCTGGCAAAGTGTGGCCAACCTCTAACTTAGTTCCCATTCCTTTCTACAGTGGATGGAGGCTACGGCTACTTGAAGGACTCAATGTGGTGGGCTGGATTTCTCACGAGTAAGTAGGTCCTTTCTCTCTCTCTCTTTTCTGGCTGTACCAGGTCTTAGTTGCAGTACACAGAACCTTCATTCCCCAAACAGGGGTCAAACCTAGGTCCTGTGCTTTGGGAACTCAATGTCTTAGGCATTGGACCACCAGAGAAGTCCCTGGTGAGTGGATTCTTTGCTACTAAGGACAGTACCCTATTGATGATAGAGGCAGAGATGAAAGAAGGAATAGATGTCTCTATTGTGCAAAATATGCATCCAAGGGCCAGATTTCTAGGGGGGGGAACCTTGATAGTCTTTGCAAGTAGAACATTTCACCTGGCGTCTCAGGATACTTTCTCCATCCACAGTCAGTCTTTCATCCACAAAGCATCTGACCCCAGAGAGGTTTGTACATAACTGGTAATGATAAAGGTATAATTTCTCAACTTCCTCTGAAAGGCAGGGAGCTATGACTGCCTGTCAGAGTCTCCCAGACTCCTATAGGGCACAGCCCGGGACTCCTAAGTCAGCTGTCCCATTCCACAAGCAGTTGTCTCACTTAGGATGTGACTGGTCGGCCACCTAAGGTTTGTCCAAACTTGCACGTTCACACATTTCCCCCCACTTTCCACCACCCTTTCTGGCTTTCAAACCCTAATTCTTTGGGTTGGATGGAGAAGTAGTGAGCTTTCTGTTTATAATCCCCTTAGTCAAGGCTATGGTTTTTCCATTGGTCATGTATGGATGTGAGAGTTGGACTATAAAGAAAGCTGAGCACTGAAGAATTGATGCTTTTGAACTGTGGAGGAGAAGACTCTTGAGAGTCCCTTGGGCTGCAAGGAGATCCAACCAGTCCATCCTAAAGGAGATCAGTCCTGGGTGTTCATTGGAGGGACTGATGTTGAAGCTGAAACTCCAATACTTCGGCCACCTGATGTGAAGAGCTGACTCATTTGAAAAGACCCTGATGTTGGGAAAGATTGAGGGCAGAGGATGAGATGGTTGGATGGCATTACCGACTCGATGGACATGGGTTTGGGTAGACTCTGGGAGTTGGTGATGGACAGGGAGGCCTGGCATGCTCTGGTTCATGGGGTCGCAAAGAGACCGACATGACTGAGTGAATAAAGTCAGGTTTTAATCCCTATCTTAGCCAGAGTTATCACATTCATCACCTGCTTTCAAAGGGCAGACCCAGGTCATTCTCTATGAGCAGAGAGACAGGAGTCTTCAGACTGTAAACTCATGTGGGGAGAAGTAGACCCTTTGGGAACATCACCTGTCTAACCACCTGCCTGTCAGTCTAGACTATCCACAACTACTCTGGGAAAGACAGCTCCATGGACCATTTGGTACCTGGAGAATCGATGACTGTGGCTGTTTCTTAATTTGATAATTAACACTTTCTAGTTGTTGTTGTTCAGTCACTAAGTCATGTCCAACTCTTTGCAACCCCAGAGACTACAGCATGCCAGGCTTCTCTGTCCTTACCATCTCCCAGAGTTTGCTCAGGTTCATGTCCATTGAGTCAATGATGTAATCCAACTATCTCATCCTGTTGCTTCCTTTGCCTCTTTGCCCCTTAATCTTTTCCAGCAATATGGTGTTTTCCAATGAGTAGGCTCTTTGCATCAGGTGGCCAAAGTATTGGAGCTTCAGCTTCAGCACCAGTCCTTTCAATGAATACTCAGGGTTGATTTCCTTTAGGATAGACTGGTTTGATCTTGCTGCCTCACTTTTTAGAACTTACTTTAATCATACAGACCAATCACTGGTCTGAGATACCCTTAACCGTGCTTAGGCTAGAAGCCAAGAGACCTCTAGAACAAGAAGAAGCCATGTGACCCTGGACTCTAGGCCACCTCCTTATCTTTAAAATGAGAGGATTTGGTCAGGATGGTCTGGGCCTGACCTTTAGATGAGATTTTGCAGGGAGAAAATGTAAGGATCGGGATTATAATGAATTCTGGTCTGGGATTCTGTGAAGGGGTGAACACCGAAGGAAGCTGTCTCCACCCACATTCATTTGGGCTGGAGATGGTGCATCTGAGCCATGGTGATCTCTTCTCTCCCTTCATTTCCTAGTGGCTGCTGGGGAAGTTGCCAACTTCGGGGCCTACGCGTTCGCTCCTGCCACAGTCGTCACCCCTCTGGGAGCACTGAGTATCCTCATAAGGTTAGTCACCTCTCCTGCTCTCTCTGACTCCTTCATGTTTTCAGTTCATGTCTGAAACTGCCATATGGGGTCAATTGCTACTTGCAGTCAGGGACCTGGGTCAGTCCCAGCTCCCAGAAAGAGGCCCTGCACTGGGAATTGCATGCTGCATGTTGTTCTAACATCCCTTTGGCTGCCTGGGCAGTGAAGGGGCAGGCCAAGCTCCATCCAGGGGAAGGGCTGTTCCTGCCACCAGGCTGAAGGTCTCATGTCAGGGTTTTGTTGCCATAGTAGGAGCAGCACACACATTGAAAGTACAAACCCTAGATTAACTGTCCCTGAGTTCTAACCTTATCTCTGCCACTTTGTAGTTACAATACATGGCAGGTCACTTAACTACTCTAAGCATCAATTTCCCATCTCCTAAGTGGGGATGTTCATAATACCTGCCTGAAGACATTGCTTCAAGGCCTCCATGAGATAATGCACAGAAAGTGCATAGTATAGAATTGGCACTGAAGAAGAACCATGGCTAACATGTGTTTAGGGTTTTTGTTTCTTGTTTAGTCAGTAAGTTGTGTCCAACTCTTGTGACCTTGTGGATTGTAGCCTGCCAGGTTCCTCTGCCCATGGAATTTTTTTTTTCATTTATTTTTATTAGTTGGAGGCTAATTACTTACAATATTGTAGTGGTTTTGCCATACATTGACATGAATCAGCCATGGATTTACATGTGTTCCCCATCCTGAACCCCCCTCCCACCTCCCTCCCCATCCCATCCCTCTGGGTCATCCCAGTGCACCAGCCCCAAGCACTTGTCTCATGCATCCAACCTGGACTGGGAATCTGCTTCACACTTGATAATATACATGTTTCGATGCTGTTCTCTCAGATCATCCCACCCTCACCTTCTCCCAGAGTCCAAAAGTCCGTTCTATACATCTGTGTCTCTTTTTCTTTCTTGCATATAGGGTTATCGTTACCATCTTTCTAAATTCCATATATATGCGTTAGTATACTGTATTGGTGTTTATCTTTCTGGCTTACTTCACTCTATAATGGACTCCAGTTTCGTCCATCTTATTAGAACTGATTCAAATGTATTCTTTTTAATGGCTGAGTAATATTCCATTGTGTATATGTACCAAAGCTTTCTTATCCATTCATCTGCTGATGGGCATCTAGGTTGCTTCCATGTCCTGGCTATTATAAACAGTGCTGCGATGAACATTGGGGTACACATGTCTCGTTCAGTTCTGGTTTCCTCAGTGTATATGCCCAGGAGTGGGATTGCTGGGTCATATGGCAGTTCTATTTCCAGTTTTTTAAGGAATCTCCACACTGTTCTCCATAGTAGCTGTACTAGTTTGCATTCCCACTAACAGTGTAAGAGGGTTCCCTTTTCTCCACACCCTCTCCAGAAGTTATTGCTTGTAGACTTTTGGATAGCAGCCATTCTGACTGGTGTGTAATGGTACCTCATTGTGGTTTTGATTTGCATTTCTCTGATAATGAGTGATGTTGAGCATCTTTTCATGTGTTTGTTAGCCATCTGAATGTCTTCTTTGGAGAAATGTCTGTTTAGATCTTTGGCCCATTTTTTGATTGGGTCATTTATTTTTCTGGAATTGAGCTGCAGGAGCTGCTTGTATATTTTTGAGATTAATCCTTTGTCTGTTTCTTCATTTGCTATTATTTTCTCCCATTCTGAAGGTTGCCTTTTCACCTTGCTTATACTTTCCTTTGTTGTGCAAAAGTTTTTAAGTTTAATTAGGTCCCATTTGTTTATTTTTGCTTTTATTTCCAATATTCTGGGAGGTGGGTCATAGACAATCTTGCTGTGATTTATGTCGGAAGGTGTTTTGCCTATGTTCTCCTCTAGTAGTTTTATAGTTTCTGGTCTTACATTTAGATCTTTAATCCATTTTGAGTTTATTTTTGTGTATAGTGTTAGAAAGTGTTTGCCCATGGAATTTTCCAGGCAAGAATACTGGAGTGGGTAGCCTATTCTTTCTCCAGGGATCTTCCCAAACCAGGTATTGAGCCTGAGTCTTCTGTATTGCAGGTGATTCCTTACCAGTGTACCACCTTTAACCCTCACAGTATCCCTACTAATTAGAAAGGAGGGGAGACCTGAGGCCAAGAGAGGTTAAGCATCTTGGCCAAGGTCACCCAGATCCCTGGAGACTGAGCCAGGATTCCCTCCCAGGCAGTCTAATTTCAGAGTCTGGACGCTTAATCACTAGGCCATGTTTCCTGGAAAATGTTTGAAGATTTTAAAGATAACTGCTATTACATGTGTGTGCTTCGCATTGCCCTGTTCCTCCCAAGCTCTAAGACCTCTCCTCTCTGGGGGTCCTGAGTCCCATTTGAAGCTGGCTCTGATTGTTGCCCTAACCATGGAGTCCTGGTAAGTGCCAGCCCACCACACCCAATACCTGTAATTTCCTGTTTTGTTTTACCAGCTTGAAGGTCATCTTGCAGCATCTATACAGTCAAAAACCAGATAGAGCCGTGACTCATGCTGCATAGTTGGCTGATGGAGCTGTGATACCACTATTGCGTATCTGGTTAGTTTACAAATTCCCATTCCAGGTAGTTAGCAGAGGCAGGGAACCCTTCACTTTGTGACCCTTGCCTTTGCTAAGGCCACCAAATGCTGGTTAAAAGGCATCGTGGGTAAGATGCTTTTGGTAGTCTTAGAGGAGAGATGGGAGACATTTAGAGGAGCTTAGACAACAGCCTCCTCTTTCCTGATCTTTTTAAGCAGGACTCGTGAAGCTTACTGGCTGACCTTAGGTCAGCCAACAGATTTTTACCCTAAAGTAATGCCACCCTTGTAAAGAAACAGAAGCATGCCCCAGTGATCATACTTGTCTTATCCCATTTCCCTCCCATCTTCCCTCATTTGCCAGCTCATTTGGAGGAATGCAACTCATATCACCAAAGAACAGCAAGGAACTGGAGGTGTTTTGCCCAGAAAAGACTCAAGTCACAATTCTTCTCAGTGAAATGTAGAGGGAAACACCATAGGCTTTATAATTAGAATTTGAGCTCAAATTCTGGCTTGTCTCTTACCATTTGTATGATCTTACCACCATTTAAGCTTCTATGGGACTCATTTTCTCATCTATAAAGTGGGCATAAGTATATTTTTTACTTCTCGGAGTTGTAAAATGTTAGTGAGGCAATAAATAGAAAGTTCCTAGCATAATGCCAGTGCAGGAGATGCAAGATACATGGGTTCGATCCTTGGACCAGGAAGATACCCTGGAGTAGAAAATGGCAACCCCACTCTAGTATTCTTGCCTGGGAAATTCCATGGACAGAGGAGCCTGGTAGGCTACAGTCCGTGGGGTCACAGAGTTGGACACAACATGCAGTGCATGCTGATAAAGTGTGCTCAAGACACAGTGCCTGTAATGTCATGAGGTTGTTTATACTGGCATATACAAATGGAAGAGGGAATGGATTTGTTCTGTATGTTGCAAGGAATAAGATATGGGACAAGTAGAAATCACCACATTTGGGTAATACCTCATAGAATGAACCTACAGTGGATTCATCTGCATTGTGAAGGGGTGAGCTGTTTGCCACGAGAGATATACAAGCCAAAGCTGGAAGCGTTTAACATTTGTTTGCAGTGTTACAGAAGATGTGCTCATTGGGTAGGAAGTTAGACAAGAGTGCTCTGAAGGGCTCTTCCAACTCCTCTGTTTGGGGATACTCTCCGTCTTTAAAATGAAAGAAATTCACGTGGCTGTTGTCCGCAATTCCTCCAGCCTACACTGTAGCCCTCCCATAAGTAAGTTTTTATTTCAGACATTTTCAAGGGGTCCAGAAAAGCTCCCACGTGGGAGAGCAGTGAGCCCTCGCTCAGACCCAGCCTTTCTCCAGGATGCTGGGGCCAGCCTGGCTACCCTGAGCCCTTTCTCCTCTTCTGCACACAGTGCCGTCTTTTCCTCGTATTTCCTGGGGGAGAGTCTGAACCTCTTGGGGAAGCTGGGCTGTGTGATCTGCGTGGCTGCTAGCACAGTGATGGTGATCCACGCCCCCGAGGAAGAGAAGATCAGCACCATCATGGAGATGGCTGCCAAGATGAAAGACACTGGTAGGTTCCAACTCCCCTTGAGCAGGAAAGCGCTGGGGGTGAACCCTGGGGAAGGGCTGACTGGGTTATGGCCGTCTCAGGTGCTGCCACCTGGAGGAGGAGGAGGAGGAAGCGAGTTTGGGGAAGAAAACTGATGGGCTGGTACTAAGGCTAGTTTACAGGGTCCCACTCTGATAGGTGTTGATGCTGTTTATTATGTGATGGGTACTGTTCTAAATGCTTTGTTTGCATTGTCTTAGTTCAAATAGCATAGACTGGGTGGCTTATAAACAACAGACATTTTTCACAGTTCTGGAATCCATCATCAAGTCCTTGATAAAGCCCTATAGTTTTGTTCATAGACATCTGTGTCCTCACCTGGTGGAAGGGACAGGGGAGCTCTCTGGAGTCCCCTTTAGAAGGGCCACTAATCCCTTCATGAGGGCTCTACCCTTACGACTTAATCACCTCTCAAGAAACCCTCACCTCCAAATACTGTCACATTAGGGATTAGGTTTCAGCATATGAATGGGAGGGGAAGTCAGTCAATCTCACCAAAAAAGCTCCTATAGGGAAGGTCCTATTATTATTCCTATTTTACAAAGAGGAAACTGAGATCTTGGGGATTTAATGAATAACTTGTACAAGTTATTAAAAAGTTGTGTTGCTGGGACCAGAACCCATGTTTGGTTCCAGAGCCTAGATTTCCTTTTTTAACAACACAGATTTATTTATCTTTTTATTTTTACTTATTTTTATTTGGCTGTGCCACAAGACGAGCTTCCCAGGTGGCACTAGTGGTAAAGAACCTGCCTGCCAATGCGGGAGACATAAGAGACCTGGGTTCAGTCCCTTGGAAGGGAAGATCCCCTGGAGGAGGGCACAGCAACCCACTCCAGTATTCTTGCCTTGAGAATCCCATGGACAGAGGAGCCCGGTTAGCATGCATAGTATGAAAGGGCTTTCCAGGTGGCGCTAGTGGTAAAGAATCTGGCTGCCAATGCTGGAGATGCAAAAGATGTGGGTTTGATCTCTGGGTCAGGAAGATCCCCTGAAGGAGGGGCATAGCAACCCACTCCAGTATCCTTGCCTGGAGAATCCCATGGACCAAGGAGCCTGATGGGCTATGGTCCACAGGGTCTCAGAGTCAGACACAACTGAAGAGACTTAGTTTCCCGACCAGGGATAAACCCACACCCCTTGCATTGCAGGTGCAGAGTCTTAACCACTAGACTGCCAGGGAAGTCCTCCAGAGCCCAGATTCTTAATGTGACATCCCGCTGTCATGGTGGGGGGGGAAGCTCTAGATGCTGATGGCATCCTCCCGGCTCAGGTCCTCTCTCTCCCTCCCCAACAAAGGGTACATCGTGTTTGCTGTGTTTCTGCTGGTGTCCTGCCTCATCCTCATCTTCGTCGTCGCCCCACGTTATGGACAAAGGAACATCCTCATCTACATCATCATCTGCTCTGTGATCGGGGCCTTCTCCGTGTCCGCCAGCAAGGGTCTGGGCATCACCATTAAGAACTTCTTCCAGGGGCTCCCAGTTGTGCGGCACCCTCTCCCCTACATCCTGTCCCTCATGCTGGCGCTTTCGATCAGCACTCAGGTCAACTTCCTCAACAGGGCGCTGGACATCTTCAATACCTCCCTGGTGTTCCCCATCTACTACGTGTTCTTCACCACGACGGTGATGACCTCCTCCATCATCCTCTTCAAGGAGTGGTACAGGATGTCGGCCGTGGACATCGTGGGCACCCTCTGTGGCTTTGTCACCATCATCCTGGGTGTATTCATGCTTCATGCTTTCAAAGACCTGGACATCAGCCAGAGCAGCCTGCCCCACATGCACAAAAACCCACCTGCCACTCCTGCCCCAGAGCCCAGTGTCATTAGACTTGGAGACAAGAATGTCCTGGTGGACAACATGGAACTCTCCAGCACCCCATCACCAGAAGAGAAGCCCAAAGTGTTTACAGCCCATTCGTAAAGCCTGAAGTAGAGAAGTGACAGGATGAGCCCCGTGGTACAGCCTGACTGCTTGATTTCAGAGCCACCTGGTTACTTCCAACACAACTCTTACCAATGGGCTCTTTCCTTGAGACTTTCATTTATACCTCATCGCTGTTTCCAGGAGAAAAACCCCTACTCAATAAGCAGTGGTGGTATAACTTCCTGGAAACACAGCCTCAGTGACCAAATACCCTACTTTATTGGTGCCAGCAGGTCCCCTGGACCTCCCTTCCCACTTGTTTCCTCTGTGTTGTGGGGAAGAAGATTGGATTTGACCCATTGAATGTAGCGCAAGCCAGGAACTTCCCTGAAACGCTGGTCATCAGGAAGTTCTCCTCCTGAGACTGACTCACTGGTCCCGAGTCCAAGGCTGAAGTGCACCTGGCTCCCCGAGGCCCAGGGAGCAACTCGCCATGCCTCCCATCCAGAACTAACAGACACACAACTCTCATCAAATGTCTTGTTGCTGTTGCCACCTCATCTTTGGAGACGGAAACAAGACCTCAGCTGACCTTACTGTGAAAGCCACCTGATGTCTCAGGGAAACCCTGCCACCAGCCCCATTCCCAGAGCAGCCAGCCTGGAGCTTAGCATCTGCTTCCATCCACCCCACCCCCACCCTTCCCTCTGTGCTCAGACTCTCGCAACCCCGCTCCTCTGTCCATGGGATTCTCCAGGCAAAAATACTGGAGTGGGTTGCTGTGCCCTCCTCCAAGGGATCTTCCTGACCCAGGTATTGAACTCGTGTCTCTTATGTCTCCTGCATTGGCAGGCAGGTTCTTTACTGCTAGTGCCACCTGGAAAGGCCCCTTCTCTCTCTAGATGCATCCCAAGAAGTTGGTCACAGAGACATTCAGGTGGTTGTCCAAGAACTCAAAACAACACAACCACCACCACAACAAAAGGTGCTTCCCAGCCGAGCTGTGCTGGCCAAGCCCAGAGTTTCATTCTGCCTCACTCTAAGAGAATAGCAGTTGCACCATTTTTAAAAGTAGCCTGGTTGTTGAGTAGAATGCACTTTCCTTTTCCTCAAGGAGTAAACCACAATATGATTTGGGGAGACGGGGAGAAGAGTGAGAAGCAGAGTCAGAATTTGGCAGAGAGCAGACACAAGCTCTCTGGAAACCAGGGGCTAACCTGTGTTTACTCTGGTGGCCGACCAAGAACCCAGGTGGGAAACATAACCTCTGGGTGTGTGTGTGTGTTTTTTTAAAATGCAGCATGCAGGATCTTAGTTCCCAGACCAGGGATTGAACCCATGCCCCTTGCAGTGGAAGCACGGAGTCTTAACTACTGGACCACAGGGAAGTCCCCTTCTGCAGTGGAAGCTCAGAGTCTTAACCACTGGGCTGCCAGAGACGTCTCCTCTGGGTAACTTCTGGGCTGAAGCCTTAGAGGCTTGGCCAGTGGGATCAGCTTTGAACTTCAGTGACCAAGTTGGGGTATAAGCTAGGCACAGGGTGTCATTCTGGCAATGGACCAGATTGCCACCAAGTCCCCACTCCACTGATGAGCTGCCCACCCTGGGAGGAGGTGTGTCACAACTGCTGTCCCACCACCTGCTTTGGGGACTGCCTGTGGTCCCCCCACATTTGTCTGGAGGCAGTCAAAAAACCAAGAGCAGCTGGAGAGAGAATTAATATCATCTCCCTTCCTGTCTTTTTTCCAGCAGTAAGAATGTGACAGTTGATTCAAGGACCATTGATATGGAGGTTAGGGAGTCAGTATATTTGTCAAGAAGGAAGCCCTGGCCTTCAGTCCCCCAAGCTGGTGTAGAGCCCCCCTGTGTAACTCCATACCTGTGCCTGTGTTTATGTCCCGGGCCCTGAGCACAGCCAAGCCCAGGCCAAACTCCTGCTGGCCTTAGAGCGCCAATGAACAGACTGGCTTTCTGCACGCATTGCAGCCTCAAAGCTCCCATTTTGAATGACTGTGGATTTCTCTCTATAACTAAAATCAATGCAACCTGTTGGATGTTGAGAATGGCCATGATCTGAGGGCCCTGAGAGTGTGGTCTGCGGGGTCAGTAATAAAGACCTCTGAGTGTGTTTACTTGATGCTTACATCTCGGCCCTCCTTGGACATGGAACAATTAAACTGGTTCTTCTAGTGCTGGGGGTGCCAGGCCAGGCCCCAGTCTCTGGACAGTTGTGGCTGTCAAGGAGGTCCTGTCCCTCCAGTGTCTTCTGCAGCCCAGCCTTCACTAAAGAGGGAAAGGTTGTCTGGGGAATACAGTCCGTTGAAGACTTCTGCACGTCCCTTGTTTTTTTGTTGGTTTGTTTTTACCATCCCTTGTTAATGCCTGAGCCCTTAGGAGGAACCAATCACAATGCTAAGAGCCTCCCATGAACACTTTGAAAGTGAAGTCGCTCAGTCGTGTCCGACTCTTTGCGACCCCATGGACAGTAGTCTACCAGGCTCCGCCATCCATGGGATTTTCCAGGCAAGAATGCTGGAGTGGGCTGCCATTTCCTTCAAATCCTCAAGGTAGCTCTGTATCACTCATGTCCCGAGTGACCCCAGACCTACTTAAACTAGACCAGCCTTTGTCCAGGTGCAAAGACCAGCAAAGACCCCAGGCTTCTCTGGCTCAGGTTCGCCCACGGTGGTCTGACAGGCTGGGTGGATGGTCCCTGTGGGAACTCTTCCGAGGAGTCCTCAGGGATGGATCCTATCCAGGCTAGCCAGTACAACATGAAAACAAACAAACAAGAGCTGTCAAACCAGCCAACATTTCAAATGACAATTTAATTAAATACAAACAAGGAAAAAAGGCACCATGGCCCATTCAAGTATTTTGCATAGATATACAAATATTGTAAACAATTAATAGGTGAATGAGAGAAAAGAGGATCTGTTTTCCGTGAACAATCTCCCAAATAAAAAGAAAATTCACATTGCCCTGGATCCCAGACACATACGTACGTACACACAGTGGGTAGTGAGAGAGGGTGTGTGGAGGGGTGGCTCTGGGGGCACTGGGCGTGGATTCTGCAGAGCCTCTCCTTTACCAGGTTCCCTAGGGAGGGGTGGGCACCATTCCAGTTGGCATAGTCTTGGTTTTCTTGGGTGTCCTGCAGAGCTGTTGTACATACATTTAATGCAATCTCTGACTTTAAAACCAGTCCCCGATTTAAAACATGAGAGTCTTCTAAAAAAAAAAAAAAAAATTCTGACATGGGTAAGAGGCAGCTTTGTTCTAAAGGATTACAGCAAGATACGGAGAGGGGTCATGGCCACAGTGGATGGGGCTACGACATCACTGTAAGATCTACAACGAGACACTATAAGGTCTGCAAGGCTCTCAGAGCTGGGGCAGAGAGGAGCTGTTCTTTTACAGGGAGTAGTAAACAAGGCTAAAAAGAATGGAGGTAAGCAGGCAGTTACCACTGGAGCCTAGTGCCTGGGCTAAAACCCACTGAGACAAGGAGAGCCAGTGCGAGCTCCCTTGAGACTTATATTTCAGAGATGCCTCCCAGGCTCTTAAGGAAAACAAGTCTAGGGTTGAAAAACTGGTCAGAGGCCAAGTTAGCTTCTAAAAAGATTTACAGTCTCCATCTGAACAGAAGGCTGGTTAAATCACTCCACCAAGCCTCAGTTAAGATCCTTTCCTCCCCATCAGACCCTAAGCATGGACTTGCCCGCATGGACTCGCCCTCGGCCAGAGCCGACATCAGCCGCTCCCCCAAAGGCTGACCACTAAGTCTGTCCCTGAATGTGGTTCTTTCCAGCCATGCTCACTCCTTCCTATAAAAAGCCTCTTCCTTCCGAGCTGTTGAGATGCTTACAGATCTTGCAGCCGCTCAGCTCACCCGAGCATTCTCCTAAAGCAACTGCCCCGTGCCCCTGACTCAACATTCCCTTCCCCAGTCTTGCAGTAATCCCTGCAAGTAAAGTCCTTCCTTCCCTAAGTCCATACTGGGTTTTGTCACCTCAAAGCAGCACATGGACACAGGAGGGGAAAAGAGGGCCATAGAAGCCAGTCTTGTCCCCCCTGGGCAGCCTCCCTGGCCTGCCAGAATGGTGCCTCCTGCCTCCCTGAACAGAACCAGGAGAGTAACAGTAAATAGAACAGGTTGCCAAAAGTCTTACCAGATTTTAAAAATTCAACCATCTTCCAGTTCACAGTACAATTTTTTATCACATGGAGGTGGTATTAAAATAATGGAAAACAAACACACAAGAAAGCAACATCCCAGGTCTCTTTCCGGTTTGGTTCCAGGGAGGGTGGATTTCAGATTCAAGAGGCTCACACCTCAGAGCCTTCTACCTCCTAATGTGGGGGAGGAAAGCTGGACAGAACCACAGGATCATTGGTGGGGCATGGGATTGGGATTAAGGGTGATTTTGGTGGGGGAGGTGTTTTAGCCTTTCATTTTCTGGGACCCAGCCCTGAGGCCTGGGGCATCTAGAGGAGCATGCTTAAATGGAAGGCTGTCCCCTGACTCTACCAGGAAGTGAGGATGATGGACATTGGGTATGGGGCGCAACCAGGACCCTTGTGAGCAAGACAGAGGTGTGAATATCACCAACATCACAACTACCTGATTACCTGAAGGAGGAGAACTTCATTTCCTGAGCTCTTCCTAAATCCCCCCCAAGAGTGCCCCAGGTGCACAGCCCGAATCTCCCACCTGTCTCCAAACCCAGAACAATGATTAAGCACCCATTGTGTATGGAGAGCTAGAATGGGGCCCTGGGCTAGTGATTGGGGGTGAGAACTCAAGCCTCTTCCTTGAACTGAGGTTTTCAAGAGCAAACATCTGTTCATTGCAGGAGGTGGGCAGCCCCCAGATGCCCAGCACCTTTCTGGGGTGGGAGACAGCCCCAGAGAACCTCGCCGGTGACTCTGACAATTGTCCCAGCCTGCAGAGCACCGCACAGCCCCCCTCCCTGTGGGGAGGACAGGACCAGAGGAAAGAGCACAAGGAAGTGGATGAGGAATCGTCTTGCTGGTCCCGGCACAGACTCTGTCCCATCAAGGCTGCTTCTCTAGGGAGTGCTAGAGACAGGTCTGCTCTCTGCTCAGAGGACAACAGTCCTGCCTCGTCGCTGATCAGGCTGGGGATAGTTGGGGTTCCCAGGACATCCGCTCCCTTCCCTACACCTGCTGCTGTCCCTGAGGACCATGCTCAGATTCAGGGCAGGGAGTGAGAGGAAGACCTGTGCTCTGCTGAGGTCACAAAACCATGGACAGTAAAGCCAGGAGCTCACAGCCATGGCCCGAGGCCATGCCAGTCATCACTCTTGAGAAACCAGGAAATCCCGGGGCCAGCTGTCAGGCAGGACCCTGACCTGCAAGTCACAGCACCAGGTCCCAGGAAGTCGGGACTGCTGGGGAATCGCATTCCACAGCACCACACGTTGGGCAGGTCCAAGCACGCAAAGAGAAATCAAAAGCACGAGGCACTTGAAAAGTGCAGAAAAGAGAAAACAGAGCAAGCAAGAATCATGGTGAGTGGATGGCGACCTTTGGCTTGACGGCTCAGAGGGGCCCAGGCTGTGCTCCCCCTGCTGTCTAAACGCCTACAAATAGTACCTGTCTGAGTCAGAGTGACCCGTGGGAATATGGGGAGGTAGGGGTTTGGGGTGGTGGGGGGTGGTAAGGAGAGGACTTGCTCACATGTGAGCACTGAGACAGGAGTTATGACCTTGACCAAGCCCTGGGCGGTGGGGGGGACCCCTCGATCCCAGAGCTAAAAGGAAGGCTAAGTGCCCGCCTCCAGCCAACCTGGGACCATGGAGGAAGACAGAAGAAATAGAAAGCTCTCACGTGTACCCTCCGCCACAGACGTGGATGGATGGCTTCTCCAAGCTGAGTCCTGGCCTAAAGGTCTAAACCAGCTTCCCAGCTGGGCTCCAGCTCGGACCACCGGCACCAGCTGGACTGGCACCCCTGGGGGGGACGGCCCAGCTGGAGGGTGGATGGGGGCGACGCAGCCATTCGTCCTCCTCCGCTTTCCTGTTCCTACCTGGGGCTGGATATTGCACAAAACAACACTTGGACGCCGTGGGGTAGTAGTCACTCCGGGCCCCTGAGGAGGCCGAGGCGGCACTGAGTCGAGAAGGAGATTTTCAGAGATGCGCTGGTTCCAGGAGGTGGCGGGCGGGGGAGGAGGAGCTCGGAGGTGGCCAGACATGCTTCTTCCAGAGCCCATGGCTAATGGCTCCTCTGTGGTATTCAAGTCCTCAAGGGAAGGGAGAAGCCCCTTTAGACGAGTCTAGATTTTCGAGCTAGTCATCCCCACAGCCCTCTGTGATCGGTATTCAGGAAACTGGGGGAAAAAAGAGAGGAGGGAGAGAGATGTCAGATCTGTGCGGATTAATGGAATCAGTGGGGCACCGTCCTCCTGCTTGTGACAGGTGAGCAGACGTGACAGACAGCTGGGTACGACGGTTTCTACAGAAGTCTGTCTACGTGTCTTCTTGTCTATCAACTCTCCAGTGAGATGCATGATGGCGCCCCCCCACCCCTCCTGACCCCAGCTGATCAGCTATCCCCACTCCTCCCTCTCAGCAAAGCTGTACCTCAGTCTGCAGAGTCTGCAGGGCCTCGTGGGAACACAGGGCAGTGAGCCAGCTTCCTCACTGGCTCCTGTCTGCCCCAACTCCCAGGATTCGCCGCACAGCTTCAAGGAAGATATATTAGGAAAGGCCATTGTGCACACCCTACCAAAGGCTGGCAGTTAATGGCAATTAACTGCCTTGAGCTTCACAGCAACCCGGGGTGGGGGTTGTCTACTGCTGCTTCCTAAAACCTCTTTCAAGATAAGGCATCGGAGACTCCAGAGTGACTTGCTCAGGGCCGCTCAGCTCATTAGCTGCAGAGCTGGTTTGAACCAGAGCCCAGCCTTCTTAACATCAGCTTTCGTGTGAAACTAAAACTCCTCTATCACCAGGGGGTGATATCACCAATTTAAGGGACAGTCATTCAGGCACCAAGAAACGCTAAGCTTTTTGTCCTTGGCTTTTGTTCTGGCAGTTCAGCCTTACCCAAGAAGCATGAACTGGTCTGTTTTCTCAACCATATTTTTGCCCCCTGGATCCCTCTGCTCTCAGCTTTTACCTCAGGGGATTCTGAAGACTCACCTTTGGGGCAGCTGCCACCAGGGGCCGGGTCTGCTGAGGCCTGGAGGGAGGGGGCCGTAGGATGGAGGCGCCGCCTGGCCTAGGGAGGTTCTTGCGGCCTGGCACCGGGTTAGCCGGGAGTGCCTTCTGCGGCGGCCGAGGCCTAGAGAGATCCTGTGGAGAAAGCCACAAGCCTCACTCAAAGGCCAGAGGCGCTCGTTCAAGAGAAAACGTCCTCAGTATGTTACAGGCCAAAAGCAGATGAGAAGAGGGATATACCATTTAAAAATAATGGTCCCATTTATAAAAACAGATTGTGTGCGTACATGTTTACCTGCTCAGGAAAAAAAGCCTTTTTGGAGAGCAAGTTGGCATCTTTTAAAATCAGAAATCATACTCAATTTAGAAGTGATCATTCTCTGACCTAATACATGATTCCACTTCCTTTTACCCATGTTAGAGAACTACTTGCACAGGGTCACAGAAATGAAACTGCAAGGATGTTCCTCAAAGCACTGTTTGTGACAGCAAAAGAAATTATAAGTAATTAAAATTTTCATCAACAAATTACTAAAATTACACAGTGACATACGACGCAGTACTTTAAAAGAATGAAGTAGGCTGATAAGTGCTGAGGTGGGAAGATGCCCAAGAGAAATGGCAAGGTGTGGTACAAGCTGAAGAGGAGAGTTGAGAGAAACAAGTCACCCTCCCTCAGTCCCCCGCCAGTGTAAATGCAGAGGGATGGGGGGAAGTCAGAAAGGATGAGGACCAAACTGATAACAGAGGTGAGAGGCTACGAGTGGCTGTGCATGGTGAGAGGGGTCGTCCAATTGAACATTCAATTTTTTTTTAACATGACTATTACCTGTGCAAATAAAATTTTTAAAAAGAAGAAATCATATTTTCCATATTGGTTGTCTGTGGGTGGCACAATTCTTTCCTTTGTACTTTCACATTACCTTCATGTTTTACTACCTTCTCAATAAGGCCTTCCCTAATGGCCTTATTTAAAATTATAACACCCTGCAAAACACAACCATACACAATCTATGGGATGCAGCAAAAGCAGTCCTAATAGAGAAGTTCATAGTGATACAGGCCATCCTCAGAAAACAAGAAAAATCTCAAGCAACCTAGCCCACTACCTAAAAGAATTAGAAAAAGCAGAAACTTGGTTTAAACAAAACTTAAAGTCAGTTTATGGAAGGAAATAATAAAGATCGGAGAGGAAACAAATAACAGAGATTAAAAAACAATAGAAAAAAATCAATAAAACCAACAGCTGCTTTTCTGAGAGGATCAACAAAATCAATAAACCCCTGGTCAGGCTCACCAAGAAGAAAAGAAAGAGGACGCAAATAAAACAAGAAATGAAAGAGGAGAAACAATTACAGACATGGCAGAAATACAAAAAATCATAAGAGAAAACTCTGAACAATTTTATACCAATAAATCGGACAACCTAGAAGAAATGAACAAGTTTCTAGAAACATACTGCCCTCCAAAACTGAATCAAGAAGAAATAGATAATTTGAACAGGCTCATCACTAGAAGTGAGACACAATCTATGATAAAAAAAAAACAAAACAAAAAAACCCCAAAAACTCCCTGCAAACAAAAGTCCAGGACCAGTGGCTTTACTGGAGAATTCTACCAAACATACAAAGAAGAACTTACACAAATCATTCTCAAACAACTCCAGAAGATTAAAGAGAAGGGATTACTCCCTAAGTCATTCTATGAAGCCACCACCACTCTGATACCAACACCAGACAAAGATCATCAAAAAAGAAAATTACAGGCCAATATCTTTGATGAATGTAGATGCAAGAGCCCTTAATAAAATATTAACAGACTGAATCCAACACATAAAAAAGATCATACATCACGACCAAACTGAATTCATCCCAGGGTCACAAGAATAGTTCAACATACGCAAATCAATTAATGTGATACACCACATCAAGAAAAGACAAAAACCACATGGTTGTCTCAATAGATGAAGAAAAAGCATTTGATAAAATTCAACATTCATTCATAACAGAAATTCACCAAAGTGGGTATAGAGGGAACATATCTCAGCATAATTAAGGGTATTTATGAGAAACCCACAGCCAACATAATATTTGACAGTGAAAAGCTGAAAGCCTTCCCAACTACAATCCCGAACAAGGATGCCCACCCTCACCACTTCTATTCAACATAGCACTGGAAGTCCTAGCTACAGTAGTCAAGATCAGAAAAAGAAATACAAGGTATCCAAATTGGAAAAGAAGAGGTAAAGTAGTCATTATATGCAGATGACATGAAACTACATACAGTAATAGTATACATACATGATACATACATATAAAAAATTCTAAAGACTCAAACCACTACAGCTGGGATGTTCAGTGGTTAAGACTCTGTGCTTCCACTGCAGGAGTGCAGGTTCAATTTCTGGTTGGGGAACGACATGCCCCATGGGGCAGCCAAATTTTTTTAAATAATAAAAATAAAAGGGAATAGGATTTAAAAACCTGTATCACCCCCTCATTCAGCATTCCCAGACCCCTTTATCCTAATCTACTTTTTCTTTCTTGGTATATATCACTTATCCCATTCCACCACAGTATACTCCCTTATTTTTTATTTTCTCTCTCTGTTCCCCATTAGACCAGAAAGAGGAGCAGGGGTCCTTTTCTGTCTGATTCAGTGATACAGCTCAAGCTTCCTGAACAGGGCCTCGTATACAGTAAGCATTCAACATACATTAGTTGAAAAAAAAATAATAAAACTCTGCACTAGTCAGAAAAGTTTAAATAACTATATTTCTTCTGTGATCAAAAAACAAATTTTAAGGGGCAAAGACTGGACCATGCCACCACTCACAGATCCCCAGGCTAGTACAAGAGAGAAGCTGATTCTACAAGTGAGGGTTTCAGGGCCTGCTGACTTGGATTGTTCCCCTTCTTGAGAAGGTCACAAGCGAGCATAAAAATGGCTAAATGGCAAGCATGGGGAGAGGGTGGGAGTAAATCAGAGATTTTCTGCAAGAAGCTTCTCAGTAAGCAGAAAACTGGGAGCAGAAATGAGTAAGAGCAGCAGATTCTTGGGACCAAAAAACCACGCTGTCCTGCTCCATTCCTTCCTCTAAGGATCAAGAGATCCAACACCCTTCCAGGCCAGACAGCTGCCAAACCAGAGCGGCTGCTGGAGGCCAGGACAGAGACATTCTGGCGGAAGCAACAGCTGGGTGCAGATGTCAGGATGCAGTGGGGAAATGCTGGGCTCCCTTGGCTGCCTGCTGTGACCCTGCTCCCTGAGCAGGGTCGTGCCACTGGCCACGTACCGGAGGCCTCACCTCCGGAATGTTTTTCTGGGGTGGAAACAGTCCCTGAACTGCTCTGGCCCAATGCTCCCATTCTCAGCAGCAGCACCTCTGTCAGTCAAGCTGCACAAACCAAACCAGACACGAGGCAACTGTGCAGGGGGGGATCATCCCCTCCCAACCCTCAGCAGTAACTGTTCCCCAAGTCCTGTCTATTTTCTTTTCTATACACCCCTCATGGGCTTCACCCTGTCAACACTACCATCGCCTCTCCCCTGGACACAGTTTAAACCTTGTAACTGATAATGTCTGTGCACTCAGCCTCATCGTCCTCTGATCAAATGCCACCATAGTGGGCCTTTCATTTTTTAAAACGACTTTTTAATCAAAGTGCAATATACATAAAAAACATGAGTCATAAATATACAACCAAATGAATTATCAGAGTGAACACACTAACGTAATCCTCACCCAGGTTAAAAAAAAAAAGGGGGAAGATTAATAGCCCCAGAAGCATCTCTGGGCCCTCTCTTAGGCACTGTGCCTCCCTCTTCCCTAAATGTAGACCAAAGTGAGATCCCAAAGCAAATCTGATCACATCACCCACATCCCACCCCTGCCTTGTTCCCACTGAATGCAAATCTGATTTGTAATCCAGGCCCATTGCACAGTCTGGCCTCTCCTGGCTCTCCAGCTTCTTATCATAGCTCCTTGGGCCCCAGGCAAAGGGGCTCTGAAACTCCTTCCATCTGTGGGCTCTCTTCATCACAAAGCTTCCCCACCAGCAGGTCCTTGGTCTAAACCTCTCCTGCCCTTCACAGCCCGCGAACTCCTGCTCACCCCTCAGGTCTCAGCTCCAATGTCACCTCCTCAGGGAAGCTTTCCCAGATTTTCCAGACTAGATCAAGTCCCCGATAACTCTCTTTGTAAGCAAGCTGAACCTCTCCTTCACAGCACTTACCACTACTGTAACTACACACATACCAGTGTCTTCCCCAGCAGGCTGTGAGTTCTAGGAGGCAGAAATGGCTTTGCTCACCACTGCCAGGTACAAAGTAGAAGTTCACACACATGTGCAGAGAGAGCAGAAGAGGTTACAAAGCTTGGCCTACCACCTCTCAAGAGGGGTCCATGTCACCAGGCTAGGAGGTGGTGGAGCTGAGACCTGAGAGTGTGGACCCCCCCAGAGCCCAACCAGGACCTGACATACAACGTGGTGAAGGGTTTGGAGTCAGCCCTAGGTGCAAGTGTGGCTACCCTACTTACAAACCGCCCCGTGGCCTGGCCCCTTCAGCCTGGGAGACAGCCCCCGCAAAGAGAAACCGAGGGCAGCAGAGACTCAGTCCTGGGATGGGTCCCAGGAAGGGTGTCTGCCCAGACTGAATCCCTGTAGCCGCCCTCAGCACTGTTGAGAAATCCCTGTTTGGGCCTGAAGCCATGCTTCGGGTGTGTATTTTGGGGTCCTCTGGTCTCCCTCATACCCTCGTCTGCACGTGGTTGCTTTCTCCCCTCTTATGCCCTTTCTCTCTCCTTCTGGGCCCTTCAAAACTCACATGTGGCCACTCTAACCCCAGTGTCTCAGAATGAGAGTGTATTTGGAACATGGCCTTTAAAGAGGTGATTATGTTGAAATAAGGCCATTAGAGTGGGCCCTAATCCAATCTGATTGCCGCCCTTATAAGAGGAAATGTGGACACACGGAAACATCGGGGAGTACACGCACAAAGGAAGCACCACATGAGGACACAGGAGAACGCAGTCACCTGCAAGCCAAGGAGAGTCGCCGTGGAAGAAACCAAACCTACTGGACTTCCAGCCTCCAGAACTGTCAGGAAATAAGTAGTCTCTGTGGTTTCGGCAACCGCCTCCCACCCCCCAGTCTGTGGTGTCTGTTACAGTTGCCCAAGGAGCCTAACACATTCTCCATGTCCTCTTCTCTCCTCCTCTCTCTTTCTTATTGCTTCTTCTCTCCCTGTCAGTCTTTCTTTTCTCTTTCTGTATGGAATTTTCTATCCCACTCCTGCCCCAGATGAGAAAAATGAGAGAGCAGCAGCTTTGCAGGGCTTCCCAGGTGGCACAGGAGTAAAGAATCTGCCTGCCACATTCAGGAGATGCAGGTTCGATCCCTGAGCTGGGAAGATCCCCCTGGAGAAGGAAATGGCAACCTGATCCAGAGTTCTTGCCTGGGAAATTCCAAGGATGGAGGAGCCTGGTAGATCACAGTCCATGGGGTCACAGAGTCAAACATGACTGAGCAACGGAGCATGCACTGCAGCAGCTTTGCATCATCAGAGAACCAAACCTGTTGCTCCTGGCTCTGCTGAACCATGACACTGCCATGTCCCAGGGACCCCAGGACCTGGAGCCAACCACAGTCCTTAGGGGCAGGGACAGCCTGGGCCCCGTGGAGTCCTCTGGACCATGCCCAAGAAACAACAGTCCCAGGAGGGAAATGGGCAAGTCCCCTACCCCAGCTGAGGGTAAAACACACAGGTGGTTCCGGAAGGCACCACGCCTGGCCAGCACCCAACATCCGTGTCTGTGCAGTAGGAACTCCTGCCAGAAGGCACAGCTGGAGCCATCAGAGCACAGACACGCCGGGTAAACAAACTGCTGGGCAGGATAGCTCTGCTTCTAAAGAACACCGGTGATGGGGGGATAGCCCAGATCCTGCCCACCCCTCCCGGAGGCCAGGCCCTTTGACCTGGCCCCCAGATGAGCAAGGCATCACCCTACATCCCTCAGGAAGACTTCCCGACTAGTACAAGGTAGTGATCAGCACAATTTGGTGGAATAAGTACTACGATGAGAGACATACAGGGACACCAAACTTGGGCTTGGGGGTCACAGAAGGCTTTTTGGAGGAAGCAGCATTTAACAGGAAATCTAAGAATGAACACAAGATGTTGATGCAAAGGGAAGAAAGTGTATGTGGCAGAGGAAACAGCATTTGCAAAGGCCTAGCGGAGAGTAAAAGACCATGGGGAACTGAAACACTAAATGAACATGCATATTTGGGGTGGAAGATGGGCGCTGGCTTATCACAGAAGAGGCCAACCAGGGAGGAAGTCCTCTGTAGTATATTTCCCCATCTCATCACCTCACACTCTGTGTGCCCAATATGGATCAGAATGCAGAAAAGGCAGTCAGCCCAGGACTCAGCAAGCTCTCTCTTCCCAGCCTCCATCATTCCTCATTCCTCATGGCTGATGGCTTGACAAGGTGCTCCTGATGCAGGGTTGCTGAGAAACTACTTACCTGGGAGAGGACGCACTTAGGTGCAGGGGGCACTGGCCGGCTTGGGGGTGGTCCCCTGGATGATTCTTTCCTCTCTACTGATGGTCTGGGCCCTGGGGAGTTTCTAGCAGCCTTGCTGAGGTGTGCTGGCGATGGCACAGGTGGTGACACGATATGCAGGTAGTCTGGAGGGGGCCGGGGAGGAGGCTGGGAAGGCTTCCGCAGGGTTTCAGGGGTGTTGGTCACCTGTATGCATAAGACGAAGAATGCCTGAGACATAGGAACCCTTAATGCACTTAAAAACTTGGGGGTGGCCTTGGGTGTCCCACTGGCACGAACAAAGACCTTGGATTCCAGAGGTCAGATGCAACTTTTAAAGTCATGAGGGGATGGTAGAATCAGCTGACCATCTCTCAGGCCAAGAAAGTGTCGTTTATTACCAATCCCAAGGGGCCCACAAAGGTGCTTAAGGGAAAATCTAGCAGAGTCCTAAGAGAGAAGGTCAAAGTAGCAAAGTTCATGGTGCAAAGCCCTTACCTTTCGCCTGCCCTGGGGCGTCTGCAACTTGAACGTTGGGTTGGCGTGACCTGTTCCACTGTTCTGAGACACCCTGAAGGGACAACTAGTAACAAGGAAGGAGAAGCAGAGGTTGTTCATTGAAGGTCACTGCCTGAGTTCGCTCTGACACAGGTGTGGCCAGCGAGCAGCCCAGTCTTCCCTGAACCTGCCCTGGCGGAAGTGGGATTGGCCCTCCTGAAGCCCAGCTCCCTCAGCATGGAGACAGTGGCCAGTGGAAAACTCCCAAGGAAAGACAGTTGGCCTCCTACACAGCAGTGTGCCTCAGTATCTTTTCTTCATCCTTTTAAGACCTTTTCCCCCCAAGAAGACAAGGATGTTACCAGCCATCAACCAATCTCCCTAAGGCATCATTCCAGGAGGACCTGGAATTTAAAAATCTCCTCTGGAAAAAAGTATGATTTATAACAGAGGACTTGGAGACTATACATCTTCAATACCCACAGAAATGAATTACTTAGGGAAAAAATGACTCTTTGCCTTGAGTTTATGTCTAGCCACCTCTGTGATTGACTTGAGCTAGTCAGTTTTCCTCTGTTGCCTCACTTTCTGGGCTTTAAGATGGGGAGGAAATCCATTAGATACAGGATAGGTTTCATTTCATATTTCAGCTTGAATTGGTTGGGGGCATTCTGCTGAGAAGGCTTCTGAAGTGATGACCAGGCTCAATCAAGCTTACTTACAACATAAATCAGGTAGTAATGTTTGCCGTGGTCATGGAGTGTAACAGAAGGGGAGAGGGTGACGTGCGCTGGGCATTTGCCTTCCAAGTAAATGAGACCCACCACCACCAACTTCTTTTTTTAAAACCAGGCACTGCTTTCAGAAAGCTGTGACCTGCAAGTAGATCTCAAATCCCTCACAGCACCCTGTCATACCTGAACTGTTGCCTCAGCTTGGAAGGGAGGGCTAAGGACTTGAGGTAGCCCAGTTTGTTGTTCTGTTTACAGCAGCGGTACATCAGTATCAGGGCCAGCAGCACAAAGATGGCTGAAAACACTCCGGCTACCACAGGACCAGTACCTTCCAGAAACAGAACCCAAGTGGCAGATTTAGAAGCAGTTGGAGCTTCAGTAGTGGATTTCAAATAATATGTTCCAGATACTCTTCAGATCCTTGATTTTCATTTACCTTGTATTACTTATTTTAACTTAAAAACTATAACAAAAAAGCACATAATATGTCCCACTGGGAAGTCACTAATATTATTACTAGCTTCAATAATCAGGTCAACTTGCTTGGCAGAGACTTCACAGTAAAGTTTCTCCAGCTACTTCTGCTTAATTGAAAAGCATTCCTTTTCATATAAGGCAAGGAGCTCTACTATTATTTACCATTTGTTTTCTGCCTAAATCATGATTTTCCTGGACACAAAGCAACCACAAAACACTGAGACAAATAGATTGATCTAAGATTAGAAGTCACACATAATTCACAATTTCACATTTGGTTTCACCAAACTCGCCTCAATGTTCTCATAAATTATAAATCTAAATGTACAAAATATATATAGACCAGTGACACACTACTTTTAACTGTTTTATATATTGAAGTTTCTTCCTTGAAAGATTTTGCTCAAAAAAAAAAATTTTTTTTTGCTATTACTTTTTTTAAAGTTTGGAAACCAAAGAGCTAGAATCCCTGAAATACATTTCTGAGTTTCCAGCTCCTCATTTTAAGCTTTGTCCATCAAAGGGCATCTGAGTCACTATAATGTGACCTAGCTTCATGATTAATTTTAAGTGGTTGAGAAGGGGTAGTTGCTACCACTGACCCCCAGAGAGAATAGATTATTTAATAACCTGTGGTCTGTCTTAATCTCTCTGTAAGCAGGAACAGGCTCCTCAACAGAAGGGAGACAGACAGAGGAAGAGCAACTGAGCTGGGCCCCACACCAGGCTGGAGCCTGGGCCACTCATCCCACTCAGCCCTTCTTGTTCTCTCATTTATAAAAATCAGGATGACAGTGCTGACTTATTATTCCTCTGCATTATGCCACCCATCCCTCCTCACAAAGGCGGGCAGGAGCCATGCAGGCCGGCCACTCACTCTCGGGGGGCATGGGCCCGCTGTCAATGCTGCCCCCTTGGCCCGGTGTGTTGCAGAAGGGTGGGGCCCAGCCCCGGAAGCAGTGGCAGTTCTGGTTGTTGTTGCAGACCTGGAGCAAGGGCAGGGCAGGGAAGAGGTGTCAGCACCCTAGAGAGCTCTGGCCTCCCACAGTGCCTGCCCCTGTGGACATCATCGCAGAGGAGCCCCAGAACCCCGAGCATATGTACCCCATGGCCATTGCACTTCTTCGCACAGCCTTCCATTTCAAAGAACGAGGTGTTCCTGCACTGCCCCTCAAAGCAAATCTGTAATGAGAAGACAGTGGTCAGTGCAACAGAAGGGACACTGGTTGGCGACCGGGAGACTGAGGTTTTGCATTCAGAACATATGGGACACAAAAAGGCAGCCTGCTTCAGGTTATTATAGTGGAAAAAACAACCTCAAAAGCCAAGGACAGGATGGCAATTAACTAAGTTCTGCTATTTCTTTCATGATGAGGGAGCAAACAACAAATATTACATTTTAAGAAAATATAATAACATAACACGTGTGCGTGCTCAGTTGCTACGTTGTGTCCGACTCTTTACAACTCCATGGACTGTAGCCCACCAGGCTCGTCTGCCCCTGGGATTCTCCAGGCAAGCATACTGGACTGGGTTGCCATTTCCTTCTCCAGGGGATTTCCCTGACCCATGGACTGAACCCGAGAGTCTCCTGAATCTCCTGGCATTGGCAAGCAGATTATTTACCTCTGTGCCACACCTGAGAAGCCCATATAATAAATATGTGTTATTTCATTCTATATTACTATATATTGGTTATATGTTAATTACTTAATTGTATATTAATATGTGCTAATTTAAATATTATACTTAAAGATAATGACCATGGTGACAGCCGTTTACTTTGTGCTAGGTACTACACCGAGTGCTTCAGACGTGTTTTACAACGTTATTCTCAGAGTTAACTCTCAGATAGCCACCCCAGGCTTTCTGGACTCCTAGTTTAGACCATTTCATAATTCATATGACAATTAATGATGAGGACAAAAGAGATATAATAGCCAATCCTTCTAAATGGTTTACAGGGATTATCTCATTTAATCCATACAACAATTCTATGTGGTGGGTCTTGCTCTTAATAATATGCTCTATAAAGAATGCAAGCCACAGGGCTAGAGAGGTTGGGGAAGCTGGGATTTGAACCCAGGCATCCTCCGTCCAGACTCCCACTTCAATACTGCCCTCTGCAACCCAGAGGCTGAGTGAGGCTGGAGGAAGGAACTTACGTGATTATGGCCACACTTGGTCCCAGTCATCACCAGGCCAGGGTCCAGCATGTCACCCTCCTCCTCAGGACCTCGGTAGACGTGGGTGCCCCGACATCGGATCTGCCTTCCGTTTATCACAATGACGGTGTCGATGGGCACTGCATTAGACTCCAGGGGCCGGGCCTCGGAACTCTGACACTGGATCTTCCCACACTTGGCATCTCTGAGCCCAAGAGAGTAGGAGGGAAGGAGATACAATCAGAGACAGAGAAGAGCTGGGATGCCAAAAGCTTTGATCTTTCTCGACTGGGACGGCAGGTTTGTATGGGGGAGAGGCAAAAGGCAATGAGTGTGCTGTAGGGACTTAGCCGGAATTCCTCTGTGTGGTCTTAGACCAAGGATAGGATGCTACATCCTTATTCCCAAGCAGATGTAGCCAGAGGGCTGGCCTTGGGAAGTCCTCTTTACTGCAAGAACAACTGCCTGACCTGAGCAACCTAATCCCTTATGCTCTTTGTACCCCATGCACCCAGTACCCAGGTGCTGCAGCCAGAAGAAGCCTGGTGTCATCCCCGACCTCCCTCCTCCATCCTATATACCAACCCAAGTTCACACCACCATCCTCTCTCACCTAGACACCAGGAAACTGATCTCCCTGCTCCAGTCTTGCCCTACAGGGGCCTAATTTCCAAACTGCTCTTAAGCCAAAGTCCAAACTCCCCTAGCCATGTACTCAAGGTTTCTCATGATCTGGTCCCTGCTTAACTAGCCAGGCTCATTTCTCAGTAGCCGCCCCCCTCCCCACTGCACCCCAACATTATACTTTAACTATATCAAGTTGCTATCAGTTCTTCCTACCACCAGTTTTTCTCTACTCATTTCTCTGCCTGGGACACTCTCCCAAGTACCAGCACCATCCCTCATCCTGTTCAAATAGATACTCTCTTTAGATCGCACCTTAAGCATAACTTCCCCTGGGAAACCACCTCAGTCCACTAAGGTGGGTTGGGTGGCTCCCACCATATTTCCTTTATTATACTATCCTGCTAAGTTCCATATACTCAGCCCAGTATCTGGCACTTGGTAAATCCACAATAGATAGTGGATGGGTGTGTAGGTGGATGGATGGTTGAAATGAATGAATGACTGGGTGAATGACAGGCTATTCAGATGAGGGTGTAATTAATACCCTGCAGAAATGACCCAAGAGGGCTGATGGGCTGCTCCAGTATAAGAAGGTCCCAAAAGGAAATGTGACCAGCCTTCTAGGAAGCATTGCATCCACACCCTCCCTCTGACTTCCGTAGGGTAGAATGGTGCATTGTCAAAAGGGCGGGGAAGAGATTTACTTAAGGGCCCACCCTAGGGCTGGCCAAGCTGATGAGTGGGCAGGAGTGACGAAAGAGCAGGACTTGCTTTGTCATCCTCATCTCATAGGGTCTGCCCTATGGTCATCACCTCATGTTGCACTTCTTGTGTTTTCCATTCATGTCCTTCCCACAGTTTCCAAAGGTGTCCCCTGCCACATTCACCTTCTCGAAGCAGAGATCAGGAGCAGGCCAGGCCCCTGGGTGGGCAAGAAACATTTATCAGCACACTAGCCAACTTTAGTAGAAGTCAGAAGCCCCCAAAGGACAGAGCTAGCCCTTGGCAAGATCAGGAAGTTAAGGAAGTTTTGTGGAAGGGAATATTCAGCCTTTTCTTTACCCCTATCTGTTATTCCACCCCCACCTTCTCAAGACCTACTCATAAAAAAGGTTTTATATCAGTTCTTTATACTTTATTGAGGTTTTATATCTACGGGAGGTTTGTGTGCTAAGCCTTCGTTCTCATGAAGAAGCCCTGTCTCATTTCAGGTGTTTTTGTTTTTGTTTTAAATAAAGGTAGTACCTGCAGAAGATTTTTAAGAATAAAATATGTCTTCCAGTTTTTTCTACTTAGTCATTCCAGTTCCTACATCCCTAAAACCTGGAGAAGCAATCAATTAATAGTGTATTTTCTAAAGATAACTTTATCTCTACCTTCTAGATACAATTCTTGTGTATCTTCTAGAGATAATCTATCTAATAAAGAGTGGCAGCATAGTCTATTCACATAATTTTTTTTTTTACTTAGTACATACAGAGCGGCATCCTTTTATTCAGCTTACGGAGTCCCAGTGTATGGGTGCACCAGAATTACCTTAACTGGTAGGATTTATTGAAGGATTTATGGGTTGTTATTGCTCTAACAATGCTGTAATAAATATCCTTGTAACTCTACTTGGCCAAATACAAGGGATGTGTAGGACACATCCCTAAGCAGTAGTAGGAATGGGTCCAATGATAGGTACCCTTAAAATTCTGGTATCTCCAAACTGCTTTCCACTGGGGTTGTACCCATCTGTTTCCCCACATGTATAAAATGGTTTTCTCCACAACTATCTTACTATTGTTCTTGTTACAGTACTATCATTCCAACTCATCATATTAATTCTTCAGTCTTTGCCAATATGATACATGAAAAAAAAAAATCCCATCTCATAGTGATACTTTGCTCACAGCTCCATCGTCCACCTGTTTTGTTGGATTATTCTTATCCATTCACTCACTGTGAGAATTTAAAGCATCAAGGAACTAGGAAGAACACTGTCTACGGCCTCCTCCTGAAAGTCTACCTTGAGGTAAGGGGATTAAAAAAAGGTAATATCTGGAGATGCTCTTTTAGAGCCTGATTCTAAGCAATCCAGAGTGTCTGAAGAGGGAGGCTGGCTAGGAAGCAGTGGGGTGGAAGGAGGGTGGTCCGCTCCCTGGGGAGACCTTACCAGGGCCCCATAGCTGCTGGCACTGCTCCTGGTAGGTGAGGCACATGCCGTTGTAGCAGTAGGCCTGGCCGTCCTCGCAAGGGGTGCCGTCCATCTGGTAGAAGTTGGTGGGGCACTGGGGGGACTTGCCCGTGCAGAACTCCGGGAGGTCGCACTGCCGTGCCTGTTCACGGCACAGCGTGCCCGGGGCCAACAGCTGAGCCAAGGAACAAGAAGGGGGGATAAAGTCAATCTCCCACCTATCTATCCTCAATCCTCCCAGCAAGGGCTCATGAGCATCACTCCCATGGAACAGAATTTCCCATTACCATTATTTCAGAGCACTTTTTACATGACCTCACTAGCTTAAACCACCATAAATCATCTAACACAAAACATCTAACACCTAGTTTCAAGGTGGTTTTACAAATGTTAACTCTACGTAGCAGTCTGAACAATTAGGTAAGAAATAATATTTATGTAACTATTTACAGTTCACTAAGAGCTTTACTAATAACAGCTACTTTATGGAGCTCCTACTTAAATGCCCAGTACAAATAATACTTCATTCAGTCTTCATGACAGTCCTATGTAACATAACTATCCCTGTTTTACAGATGATGAAATCTGAGGTATGTCTCCAAAGTCTCATGGTTAGTAAGTGGCAGAAGAGCAAAGCCCACTAGTATATATGTACAGATACACACACACACACAAACTAGCATTCATGCATCTTTGAATTCACAAGCACTCTGGCAATAATACACCCACATTACTGAGTCAAGCTCCAGGCTAAGTATGTTACACATGTTCATCTCATGAGATCTTCACAATGCCCATGAGCTAGATGCTGCTATCTGCCCCATTCTGCAGATGGAATGACCTGATCAAAGAGCACACCCTGGGCAACTGGTAAAGAGTGAGTTTCTGTTCGAGTCTTCCAGCCTCCCTGGGTGGGGGGCGGTGGGGGTCAGTGTTATTAGTACTCTTCCCATCTTACAGATAAAGAACTCAGGCTTGGATGGGTAATAGGCTGCCCCAAATCACACACAGGGCTGGAAATGAAGATCTCAGGCTCCAGGGCTCATCTTTTCCGACACAATTCTCTGCAGGGAAACCCTTTCCAAGATCCAAGCTGAAATCCTGGGACCCGGAGACGAGTGCTTTCCACGTTCATTCTCAGGCCTCAGCCTGAGACCCGAGGACCTGACACAGCACAGCCTCTCTGAAGGATGCCGGGTCTGTCTTAAAGTCAAACAGACGGCGTGGGAGTTCCCCTGAACAGGCAAAGAGAGCTATGTCTGACAACAGCACCCCGCCACACTGCTGGGTGACTCCACACCACCCACGGGGCATCCAAGGAGAGAAGGTGGGAGCAGGCCAGCTGGCAGCTTGCTGACAGTTTCAGAGCAAGGGTGGCCTTGGATGCATCTCCCCACCTGAGAGCAGTATGGAGGGGAAAAGGACCCACCATCCCTGGAGCCAGTCTGCCTGGGTTCAAATCCCAGCTCCTTAGCCAGCAGACCTCTGTTCATGCACTTTCTCATGGGTGCATGAGGATAATAACCTTCTCGTGGTTCTTGCTAGAAGGTGATGCTAGAAAGAATGTTCTAATAAAGCACTTGAACAGTATGGGGAACATAATGAGCCCTGAGCATGTGGTAGGTGGAAGCACAGTCCATGATCCGATCTAAAACCCTGGGACCAGATGGGCACCAGACTTCACAGATTTGAGAAAGCAGACATTACACAGATGTTCATACATATGTAAATGTGTATATCTCTCTATATATACATACACATGACATATGTATATTACATAACCCAGAATCAAGGCCTAGGATTATACCTTATAATCAAACACACTAATGTTTCTGCAATGAAATATACTATTGGCTTTAAGTGTGACTTTTTAAAAAGACTATAATTAGATTTATGTCAATTCAGGTCCAATTTTGCCATCAAATGAGTTAAAAAAAATTTTTTTTTTTCAGTTTTTAGAACTTCCTGAATTTCCGAATTGTAGATAACAGATTGTAGACCTATAATAACATTAGTGGTAAAAATGGTGTGATCTTCCAATCAATACTAAGAACGTGGACTCCAGAGTCAGAGAAACCTGGTTCAGCCCTTCCTCACTGTTTAACCCTGGAGAAGTCACTTATACCCTCTGAGCCTCAGTCTCTACATCTTAAGTTGAGTATATTAACATACACCCCATAGGGGTTCTATAAGGACTGAATGAGATGACACATATGAAATTCTCGGCACTGTGCCTGGCACCTAACAAGCAATCCATTATGTTAATCAAAACTGTGATGAGGAATATTATGATCACCAAATAAAATCAAGGCTACTCTCTCTGGACATGTTTTTAAAAAATTTCCCACTTTCCAGGAGGCCCACACAGCCTTCTGGGATGATCTGAACTCAGTGAGGTCAAATATAGAAAAAGGCAAACTTTGTTCAAAGGCTCTTTTTGGCTCCATGTTTCTGAAACTTTGACACCACCACTTCCCCAGGACTGAGGCTGAATCCTGACCATCAGCCTCTGCAGAGCCTCGGACTGTCGGTCAGAACTCTGGGCGGGGAGGGCCCCTTACCTTACAGCGGTGACAGCAGGAGCCGTGTGCACACTCAGCCCCCTCTCTCAGGGTGCAGTTAGCAGCATTGCAGCAGGGGTTATCACATTCCTGGGGAGGCAGCGAGAAGGGGTGTGAGACTCCAAGGCACCAGGGCAGGGAGATGGGAAACAAGGCGGGATGAGGGGCCTTTACCCCCATCCTACCTCATGTGTCCCTGGAACTCCAGCTCCCTGGAAAATCTCTACCCAAACATCACTTTATAGCTTTATCATTAAAATAGTATGCATATATTGTAGAGAATATACATAAGCAGAATCATCAGTAACACACAACTTAGACACAACTGCATTTTGACACATTTATAAACATATAGTTATTTTACAAAATCACAGTATCCATATCACTTTTAAACTTAAGACACTACACCCACTTCTCCTTGTAATCATGGATTCTTCTAAAATGTGATTTTTCGCATAGTACTACATTATAAGGAAATGTCATGATTTGTTTTTCTCAGCCCCAATCCAACATCCAGAGACCGTGTCTTCCTGGAATCCAGGCAGACCTGTGTTCTTTCCCTTCTAGCGCACCAGGTGTCTTCCCACCCCCAGGCACAGTTCTCCCACTAGCTAAAGTGTGACTTCCCTCCTGGTGCCCCTCGCTAACTCCTACCTCAGCCTTCGAGTGCAGGGTCAGAGTCACACCCCTGCCTGAGTAGGGCAGCTCCCCTCACATTACATACACTCCTAGCATCATGCCATTGGCTCTCCTGGTATTTACAACAGCTGTAGTTGTACATTTTTGCAGCTATTTGGTCAATATATGCTTCTGGCTTTGGACTACATACTCCTAAAGGACAGGCACCATGTCTGCTTTTTTCTACCTATTTATTTTCCTATCCCGTGCACATGACCTAGTATCACATACTCATCTGTTGAAGGAGAAACTGCTCTGAATATAAGCCACTGGCCAAGATCACTCACAGGCTGCCCCTCAACCTCACTGGGCCCTCCATGATAATACAACTCTCTCCTTTCTGAAGGGTCTGGGCTAATCTCTCTGAACTCATGCAGGTGCAGGTGGGAAGCCTTTAAATGGTTCTTGTTTTATTAAAGTCATATGCTGGCACTTTCAAAAAGTCAAACCATAGAGAAGATTAAAAAAGCAAATAGTTTTTCCCACATAGACAGACCCTCAATCTCATCCCCACAGTTTATTCTGAATGCATAAACTACTGACACATTCTCCCACAAACTGTTCTATACGTTAGCGTTCATATTTTCATGCTTCATAAAATAGATATGAAACTATCCAGTTCTGCTTTTTGCAGAACTGCTAGCATCTGTTAGAAGTGACAGAGCTATGATATGCCCACTATTGTTCATCCTGAAGATCAGAAGGAAGGAAAGGGCTTGTACACCACCAGTTCTGCTCCTTCTCCCTCCTAGAAGCCCCTTTCAGACTTGACAGGACTTCCTATATCCTCTTTCAATCATTTCTTCTACAGGTCAAAGAGCATGAGCTTGTTATTTTAAGTATCCTCATAATGCCCACCTTCAAGTTCACGTATCTGGCTATGGACAGCCAAGGAAGCCATCTGTAGCTCCACTGGCCAAGACTGTGGTTTCTGGGTAGACCAGATGCTCACAAGGAGAACTCCCCTGCATTTTAGACACAGATAACTGTCAACCTCAAACTGGGAGAGTCTATATAAATGGTTCATATTTAAGGCTTACTCCCCACATGTTATTTGTGATGGGGTCTTTGACTGCCACGTGTATGTAGGAAATGCCTATGACTAATTTTCAAATGCATGCTCTTTAACCTTGAAATTTGAAGTCAGTGTAAATTCTTCCCCTCCCATTAACACGGCACGACACCTTACCTCCTCCTCCCCACAGTCACACTCTTCCCCATCTTCCAGGTACCCATTTCCGCATCTCCGGCCTCCATACAGCGTCCTGGTGTCTGGCATGTTGGAGAGACACATCCCCCCGCCTGACTGCAGATACCTGTCCAGTTCCCTCCTGTTGCATCTGTTGAACACTCTGGGAAAGGGGTGCCTGGGAGGAGAGCCAGGGTGGAATCAGCTAGGGGTCTGAGCATCAAGCTGCCAGAATTTCATCAATCCTGCTGCCCATGAAGCTGATTCCAGCTGCATTCAGACCCTCCACAGGCCCATGTACATACATTCTGCCCACTGAGAACATCACCTGCACATTAACTTTCTATGAACTAAGAAATATTAACCACCCCATAATGTTTTTTTCCCCCTTTCTCTCCATGGAGGATTTATTTGAGAATCTGAAGCAACGATTTCAGCCCTTTCCATGAAGGGCAATAAATAAAGGATAACTAGTATGTTACAATAGGTCTCTTGAGCCTTAGAGTGGAATAAAATTCCAGCCAACCCAAACTTTTCCTGAAGCTGATATTAGATGGAGATTTTCTTAGAACAGAAGACCAGGCCAAAAAAGGCCAAGTTTACGGGTTTAATTTCTTTGTTGGGCCAGTGATCTGATCTCTGCTCTAACGATACAGGCAGCACTCCAAACTCAACCGCCCAACTCACAAACACATGGTTTGTATTGCAAGAGTGTGAAAGGCCCTGCATCCCGCTATTGGGGAAAAGAATCAAGTCATGCACTCCTTGGTGACAGGTGGATACCATAATCTGGGTGTACAGAGGAAGAGTTATCCTGATCTCAATTACCTAAACCAAGTAAAGGTTAGACACTGGAGGGTTTCTTTCAGTTGTCAGGAATGTCACAAAAAGCTTGTCACTAAAAATTGTTAAATTACTAAAATGTCTGAACAGTTTAAAACAAATTATAGTAATTAACATAACTCTTTCAACCACCTGTCTACAAATAAGATTTTTAGATTGAGAGAGAAAGAGGTGGACTTAACAGCAAGCTTGAACCTTGTTCAAATAGCAGGGATCTGAGCACGAACCATGGAGCTGTCTCCTGCATATCAACATCATCCTTTGTGTGACACTTTCTCCACGAGGTGAGGAGAAGACACTGGAACACCAAGCAAGCTGCATCTCATCTCAGAGACACAGCAACAGCACTCCCTGAGCAGCATGAGCAGGCCCTAATGGCTTGCCGTAGGAGGAACACAAGCTCCCACCATGACGCCTTCAGAAGAGTGACTTAGGTCCCTGAAGAACTCGGTGCTCTCTGCTGTGTGAGTCCAGACACTGGCTAAGTCCTCTGAAGCAACTTCAGAGTTCTCTTTCAACGGCTCTGGTTTAGAGATCCCTCAGGACTACAATGAGATGGAGCTGCCTTGTCCTGTTCCTTGTGGTAAACGCAGCCTGCAAGACCCCTGAGGAGTCGCCGTGGGGTGTGGGGCTGCTCGCCTTCCTTCTCCTTATTCTGGAGGCGACGTCAGCGCTTCCAGTCAGGCCTAGGCGTGACAGCCCTGATCACACTTCCTTCACATGGAGAGATGAAGGGTTGTGGCTGTTATAAATGGGTTCCCAGCAAAAATTTGTGAAGTGGAAAAGACACATGTGGTCAGACCAGTTTTACAGCTGAAGACCCCCGAGGCAGAAATTCAGTGAATCTGAGGTTTCATCAGCTTCCCTGGTGGCTTAGTGGTAAAGAATCTGCCTGCCAATGCAGGAGATGCAGGTTCCATCCCAAGGTTGAGAAGACCCCCCTGGAGAAGGAAATGGCAACCCACTCCAGAATTCTTTACTGGGAAATCCCAGGGACAGAGAAGACTGGTGGACTACAGTCCATCGGGTTACAAAGAGTTGGACTAAACAATAATAACAGGTTCTACCACACCAAAGTTTCTGATAGAAACCTGTGCTGCTTCCACCATTTGTTTTCTTGGTCTTCTTCCCCTTCTCTCTTCAAGGCCCATGTCAAAGTATAACAGAGGCTCCCTGGGCCAGAAGCAACACTTGGGCTGCACTGGCCTCTCGCGCTCTGCCCTCCTCCCCATCTTCAGCTTCCTGTTTGACTCACCCGGTGGCAGCAGCCATGATGCACCCACCGTCAGCTGCGCTGGCTGAGCAGCAATCCGCGGAATCGTGGCTCATGCCGAAGTTGTGACCCATCTCGTGGGCCATGGTGGCGGCCACGCCGATGGCATTCTCAGAGTGGTCCTGCTCGGGGAGAGCGTTCAGGTCAAAGACAGCTCCCCTCCGCAGCCCTGCCTTTTCCTTAGCCAAGCTCTCCACTGATAATACAATTGCTGGGCATACAGGCTCAGGGACTAAAGTCCATGATCTTAAGTACCCTGCAGCATCTGTCAGTAAGCACAGGTGGAGAGAGAGGGTGGCAAATAAATGCACAGCAGCCTCCTTGCTGTCCACTTCACCAGTCAGAAATGAATAGCCCAAACATTCTAAAAAACTCAGAGAGAACTTCAAAAGAAGGCAATAATTTCCTAACTGTGACTTTGAGACAGGCTCTTGCTCCATAAAGATATACAGAACAACCTGAGACTTAAAATAAAAGCATTTTTAATCTCTGTATCTTATAATTTGTCAGCCCTGGTCTGGACCATATAAGAGATATAGTGATATATGATTCATGTAATTGCTTCAGGGTTCTCCTGAGTTTGAGAATTGGGGATAAATGACAATAAATGAAAATCCATCCCTTAGTACCTCCATCTCTTAGAACTTAATACCTCCATTTAAAAAAAAAACTTCTCTTCTTTATGTCCAACCATTTTTCCTGTAATACTTCACACACAATTATTTTGAGAAGATGACCTCCTATTTTGTAAGGCAGTTTTCCGCTTTCTGCAGCATTAATAATGGCTTGAGACTCACCATGTTGACGCCTCCAGACTGGTACACGGAGCACATGGCCATGAGGGGGGCCAGGCCGATGGTGGTGCCATGAAAGGACATGCCCCTGTGGGAAGGAAAGAGAGAAGGTGACTAGGGTAGGGGCTGAGGGGGCTGCTCCCTTATGCCCAGAAGCCATCATGGCCTTCCTTGGCCCTGCTGACATTCCCAGATCATTCCCAAGGGGAGAGGTCCTGCTACTCTAAGCCAATGCGACAATTTCCAGGTCACCACACCTCTCAATTCCTCTCACCTACTCTCTCACCGCTCTAGACAAACAGAAAAGAAAGCAAAAGGTCACTTTTTCCCACAGTATGGCCATAATCCCATCCCCTGGAAGGAAATGGGCAGGGCTTGCAAAGCTGCATCCCATTCCTGCTACAGAGGAAAAGGTCAGAGGGTAGAGATGACGGAAGGGTGGCACAGGTTCTGCTGCTGAAGTGAATCATGCCCACTTCCGCCAGCTGCCAAGGTCCCCCGCCACATCCCTGGCTCTGTGGTAAGTGTACGGCAGGGGAGGGGGGGTCAGGGCAGCAGCTGTGGGCGCTGATGTTTCACTCCTGAATCACTCTGGGGCCAAGGAAACAGATGTGTCCCATCGGGACAGAGTGCAGCTGGGTGCGAGGATGAGCTGTTTCTGCCTTTGTTTTGCGACTGTGACCCTAATCTGCCAACAGCCAACTACATTCCCCTAGTTTAATACACTCTTTTCTCAGCTGTCTGCATCCAGCACAGGGGCAAAGGAATGAATAAAATACTGGTGTTTTCGTGCATGCCACAAACCATGAAATTTATTTAAACGATCTACGTGGAAATTCATTACATCACACTTCCACATCTCTGTGTTTGCCTTCTTATATAGTCCATTATATCTTAGAGAGCCAAGACTATCTTATTTATTTTGGGATCATGAGAACTTAGTTTAGAATCAGACACATAGTGGGTGCTTAACACATGTTTGCTGAATTCAATGCAGATTTATCTTTAGAGAAATAATCTGAAAAAAAAAAAGAAAACAACAACATGCAAATCTCTAGGAAGCCCTATTGGTTGTCTGATAAACTCAGACATGGCACTGAGGAAGTTATACTGGAAACTGGATTCAAGGTTTTGCCCAAAGCAGGACACCAGATTTTCAAAGATCAGGCCAAAGCTTTGGTAATCAAAGACTCTTCCCAGGTAAGTATGTCATTATGAAGCAAGAACTCAGGTTTTTGGTAGAGCTATTTCCTCAGTCTCTTTTAAAGCATAAACACAGGTTTAAATGATTGTTGTTTCAGAGATATTTAGGGAACAGGAAAAAAATGGCTTTATTATGTATGTGCTTTTTGTTGTAACTTCCTCAGAATACCTTTGGAAGTCAGCACTAATAAATACCAGATTGTCATCATGGGGGACTGTCATGGGCTGCCATGACCCCATCAGTTTCTGTCCTTTTCTCTCTGGGATTGAACAAACTCCAACACAGCCACCGTCTCCTACCCCCCCATGTCTCCCTCCTCTCCAACACACTATTCCTGCAACATCTGCCACTTGACTACCTCACAGTTGGCCCTGAGACCCTGGGAATGACATGAAGGACAAGCCGAGAAGTCCCCTCTCCTGGGCCTGCATGGGGAGATTAACTCCTGCACTAGAACAAAAACGCCATGAAGATCAGGGTGAGCCCCTTAGAAAGTCTGTTTCAAAGCAGCCATGACAGACAGTCAGTCACTTTCCAAATACACACCCAGTTGATTCAGAGACTCAACTCAATATGTCTAAGGCACTAATTTTCTAATTTGGGCTGTAAACACTTCTTGGAATTGTTATGACTCGGGCTTTTTGATATTTTCCTGAATATACTGGGCACAGAGCACATGCCTGAGGAATATTTGGTTACTGGAACGCAAAGTCAGGATAGCTTAGTCCAGCCAACTGTCAACACTGGGGAGAAAGGACAGACAGCACACGCCCTGGGGGCAGGGGCTTTGCAGCCAAGGGCAAGGGTAACACATGCGGGAAAGGCTACTTACGTGATTAACTGCGCGTTGTCATGGCTCTTCCGGGTGAGCAGTTTGCGCCTCCAGCTCAGAAATGACCAGAGGGTAGAGTATGGGTTCTCTGAAACTTCACACATGTTCCCATGAGTCCACACTTCCAAGCCCACGAGGGCAATCCGGATATTCAAGGATCGGTAAAACTGAAAACACACATGGAAAGTCACAGCGTCATCTGTCGGCACCACCTTCCTAGTCCAAGTGCTCGGAGCTCAGGTTCCAGATTTCTCTTCTCTACCTGCCTCCAGGGGAGGAGGGAACAGGTGTCGCTCTTCAAATTTCTCAGAAGGGGGACAGCCTGAGAGAGGCATAACGTCCTGAGAGCGGCTCTGCCTCTGGTAGCCGAGCTGGGGTGACTTAGCTTAGAGAAACGAAGACTGAGACAGGACACAGAGTTGCTTTCAGACATGCACAGGGCTCTTAGTGGAGAAAGGACCAGCACTATTACACAAGAGCCTAAAGTGGGGCTCAGTTAATAGGTAAAACAGACAGGCAAACACATTTCATTTCAAAATAGGAAAAAACTTTCAAAGCTGGTCAAGAGCTAAGCCTCAGTGTCATCTGTAACAAGTACCCTTGGCTCATGTGTCTGGTACATACAATCACCCCACTCAATTCCTTTCATGGCCCTTATTTTTATATATGTCTAAAAAGTTCTCTTGTATATGAATATTTAAAACAACTTTATTAAGGTATAATTTATACATCATAAACCCACCCATTTTAAGGGTAATATTTTTAGTAAATTTACCAAGTTGTAAAGTGATCACCATTATCCAATTTTAGAGTATTTTCATCATACGAACAAGAAACCTTATGTCCATTTACTATCATTGCCCATTTTTACCCCTAGACTGGGGTAATAACTAATCTACTTTCTATCTCCACAGATTTGCCTTTTCTGGATATAGTCCATAAGTGGAATTATATAATACATGGCCCTGTGTGTCTTCTTTCATTTAGCATGTTCTGAGTCTCATCCATCTTGCTGTCTATATCATTCTGCCACTTCTTTTTTTTGCTGACCAGTATCCCATGCTGTGGATATACCAAATTGTATATGACTTTACTGAAAGACATCTGCCACTCATTTTGAAAGTAAATGGGTATAAATGATAATATACACATAGATGTGCTTACTCTCGAAATTTCCTTCCCCATCACTGGAAGTTCTTGGGTTTTGTAAAGGATACCACAAACAGGTTGTAAGCATGAGGCTGTAAACGTTCCAGATAATCCTCATGATTTTGTGCAATCCAGAGATCCTGAAATTCTATAAATGAGACCTGACTCTTGGGCTCCTTAAGGCTAGAGCTACATCTAATCTTTATTACACGCTATCTTTCATCTCACGCACACATAGGAAGAAGAAGGTTTTCTTTAAAGCTAAGTACTGGAAGGCATAGATATCAGAAATTCCTTGACTGGTTAAGCCCTAGAGAATATTGAGGCAGCAACTGAAAAAAAAAGTCATCTTGGGGACTTTCCTGGTGGCTCAGTGGTTAATGCAAGGGGGGGCACGGGTTCAATCCCTGGTCAGCAAACTAAGATGTGGCATGCCTCATGCTTTGGCCTAAAAAAAAAAGTCATCACAGGTAAACCTAGGTCATGTAAGCAGAAGATGTCATCTCATTCCAAAAGTGGTAGGTACAGCCCCTGGTAAAAATAACAGTTGTAGCACCAATGTTTATCAAGCACTTTCTACATATTAAGGACTGAGGCTTAGAGAAGTTCAGTAATTTGCTGAATTCTAGGCAGGAAGCTGGCAGAGTTGGGATGAAGACTTGGATTATTAGACCTCAGTGTCTACTCATGACCCTACACTGAGTGCTGCCCTATTTACCCAACCAGAGAATCAACTTGCCCCAGGAAATTGTGGTGTAAATGGTCTCCAGATTCAGCAAAATATCAGTTGATTTCAATGGAAATTGTGATTTTCCTGTTTTGTGCCAGGTCAATCATTCCAGAAAATGAAGGGTTTGGATTCCAATTCAAACTTGCTTCACTAGGGAGCTTTTCGAGGACTTAACTTGGCTTTTTCATAGGGAAGGAAAAACATTTTAGACTGGGTTCATGATGGGGCAAATGAGTGCAGTGCATTCCAGTTTTAGTCCTGTAACAGTTCAGTTCAAGGAGCTGGGTCAGCAAGCCTGAGAGAAATGGGCTTGCCTGCCCTCACCCCCGCCAGGGGTGACCAACCTCAGCTGCAGATGAGAGAACCAAGGCTGCTTCACAAACCAGCAGGCAAGGTTGGGGACTTCCAGCAAGGATGGGGCTGGCTAGTGCCTCTCTTCTCCTTCCACTTTTCACCAGCACCCCCGATTCTAACACCCAGACCAGCTGCAGAGTCCACAAAGGAGACCCAGCCAAGTCTCCCACCTGCAGCGTCTCCAGAACAATCGACGTCACGTGGGTGATAACAGGGTCTACCCCAGGGAAACAAGCTTTTCTTATTTTCCCAGATGCTGAGTGTTTGGGTTGTGGGATCATCTCGATGTTATTATTGAGAAGTTGAAGGCTAGAGAGACGACTGGACTGGGTCCCTGGAGTCCTCCCTTCCAGGAAATGCCAATGTTTGTGTTTAACTTTCACCTGTCAATGACCAGCACTTCCAGAGTCATCTAAAGCAAAAATAGAGGGCACAGACCCTCCCATCCAATGACTCCAGAACACTACCAAATTTGCTTGTAAATCCCTAAAAATATTGAAGTTCTCTTCCTTATCCTCCAATATTAAAAAAAAAAAAAAAAAAAAAGATTCCCCCTTCAGACTTGGGATCCATGAATCCCTAGCAGACCAAGAGTTAAGCTTCAGGCATTTTCTGAGTGTCCTGAGACTGTATAATAAATGTGATCAGAGTCTCACAGAGACCTGCAATACCAAATGATTAAAATCTACTTTTTAAAACTATTTACTACTTGCCTATCAAGAGGTCACTGTCATTCTAGGTTACCTCTTCTACTTCGTTCTGCATTCTTTCATATAAACAAAATATTTCCAAGTCCCAGACCAGCCTATTCTAGTCAAATTAAAGAATCTGGGTATTTCCTAAGAGCATGTTTTAAAAGAGCCTGACCTAGGAAAGTTAACCCTCTGCTCAGCCTTTCTAAGAGACAAAACCAACTAATTTTAGAACAGTTTAACAGGCGGAGATGATACAGATTGACCCCAAGCAATCTACTCCTCAACTTTTAAGGCAGGGGTGAGGGTGAGGGTGTCAGAGGACAGTGCTCTGGGTTCTCAGCCCTGCTTCAGCTTTGAGGAGCCTGTTTTCCTGGGACTTCTATATTAGACGTTGGAAAAAGGAGTCCACTGAAAAACACAACTAATTGAAAGCTATTGGTTTAAATCAACCCTATTTTGTAAATTAAAAAACAAAACCGCAACCCAAACAAGACAAGTTACTTGGCTAGGTCCATGCAGCTGACGACTTGTCGTGAGCACCGAGCCCCTGCAGCATTGCTACTGCCTCCTGGAAGCTGCCAGGGCAGCCGCTCCAGGAAGAGGCAGGCCAGCTCCTACTGGGCAGCTCCGCTAAGGTGCTGGCACCTTTCCCACAAGTACACACCTGGTCTCACCTTATCAACGTAATTGGCGATCTCCATAAGCTTGTGTTTGGTGGCATCTTGGTCCCGTCCGTTCTTCTGAAACTAAATGGGACAAGCAGAACCAGGTGAGAACCCAGAATCCTTCCCAGGATCCCTCGTGTGTCCCATTACTTGTCTGTGAATTCCTTCATTTGCTCCCATCTTCTGTGAGCAGTCATTTCCTTAGGACTATCTCCCTGACACACATCTGTCAGCTCAGCGAAGGCAGAACCTGAGTCACATCCATCCTGGTATCTCCAGCTAACAGGTCAGGACCGGGCATACAGTAGGCATGCAGTAGCTGTGTAGTGAACTGGACTATCTTCCTCCAGCCTGTGAGGTCGACCCTGTTCTCCTGTCTCCCTAACTACAAGGCCTTTTGCAAACTCCCACTGGGGCTTAGAGGAGGGACCAATCCAGTCCTTGCCACAATCATCACCCCAGCATGGCGCCCCCATCACACAGATCACCCAAGGACTCCATGCAGGTGATCAGTCAACATGGTCAAACTTGCTGAACACCCACAGTGTGTGAGGCACTGCACTTGGTGGGACACAAAGTGTGAGGTCCTGGCCCTAACCTTGAAGGAGCTTCAGTTAGAAAACAGAGGGGATCAGAAATAACAACGAAGGCAGATTTTGTATTTAAGGAGTATGAGATTGAAACGGGCTGAGAACACCTGCACAGAAAGAACTGCAATAAGAGGCCACATGAATGACACAAAATGAGTGCTAGCAATGAGGATCTAAGACCCTGGCAAACAGGCTTCACCCGGCGCATCACTCAGATCAACTGGAAGTGCCTTCCACAGTGAGAAGGATTCTGAGACTGCAAGGGGCTCAGCAGGAAAGTGCTGTGTTCGATCAGAAATGTCTGCCAGGGTACCAGGAGGAGCACATTTCCATAGGTAGCCTCACATTCATCATGCCTGCTTCAAAAGGATAGATCATGTTCAGCTGCAATGATGAAGGAATGCTTCATGGCATAAAGATAAAATTTGCCACAACTGCAGCCTAAAATTTGAAAAGAATAGGTATGTCCCATACACTGCCGTGGTAACACAGAATTACAGTGTTACTATCTGAATTACTCTGGATATACACGAATATATGATACCTTAAACCTTCACATCCTTCCTCCATAAAATCCCACAAGAATATTCAAGAACAAAAAGGACAGACACCCTGGGGTATTTGTCTGGATAGGGGTGTGTCTCAGCCACAATACAGGGAGAAACCTGTTTCCTTTTCTCCCACTGCTTTGGGATCCTCCCCAAAACTGCATCCATCAGAACTGCAACCAACTCACTTTCATGACTGCTTTTTACAGTTAAATTGCATGTAAGACTCTGGGACTCAGACCTTTCCAAGGTGTCAATCCCGAAGCTTCTCTTTACAGAGTCACTGCATTTCTAAACTGGTCTCACTGCACAGCAAGCCCTGCAGCATTTAGTGAATACTCTTAGAACATCAGAGGCAGACTTAATAATCATTGTCTTTCAAATATATTAATCCTATCTTCAAACAACTACCTGATAATACCACCACAGTTTAAGGAAAGTATCATGCTGTCCTGAAGAGCTTCAGGCAGGAGTCAGTCAATTTTTTTTTGTAAATGGCCAGGTTGTTAATATTGTAGACTTTGCAGTCATACTGTCTCTACCAGAACTACTCAACTCGGCCATTCTAGCTCAAAAGTAATCATGGACAGTACACGCATGGATGTGTTTCAGAAAAACTTTATTTATAAAAACCTGGAGTGGGCTGGATCTGGCCATGGGCTATAGTTTACAGACCTCTGATGTAAAGAAAACAGTACCTCCCCTTTACACTTTCTGGGTAGACCAGACACTAAAGCACAGTGCATCACCTGGTCTTTCCCAACTGGCCCATGTCCTGTCTGTATCTTGAAAGTCCTTGGCAGGCCTGTTCTCACAGCTACCCTGTCTCCTCCTACAACATCCCATCTTGCTCTTCCCCTGTCTAGGCCTCCCGCTTTACCTGAGGAATGAATAAGCTGAAAACCACCCTGGGGAATTTCCCTGGCAGTTCAGTGGTTAAAACTCTGGGCTTCCAAAGCAGGGGGAGCAAGTTCGATACCTGGTCGGGGAACTAATATCCCACATGCTGTACTGCGTAGTCAAAAATAAAATAAAAAGCTTAAAAAAAAAAAAGTACCTGCTCTACCTTTCTAAAAACAAATAAACAAAAAACAAAACAAAAAGCAAAGACAAACCATTCCAAGTGCTTCAAACTAGGCCCAGGGAGCTGCTTGATCATTTCTACTGCTAAAAACCCTCTCTCCAGGCAGTAACACCATCCTTGTCTATACTCCAGATGCCAAGTTCAGAGCCCAGGAGAAAGAAGCCTGGCCTGTCTCAGCACCAGGTTATAAATCACAGATAAGGTAGCCCACCCTGTCCCTGTCTTTCCGTCCTTTCAGATTAATTCATTGTCAGGAATACACTGCTGCCTCTGGAGGATACAAGGCCACTTGGAGAGGGAGTGGAGAGGGAGTGGGGGAAGAAGAGGTGACGGGGAGAGGGATTTGTGAGGCTGTAGGCCCGGCCTGGCCTCTCATATCCTCCACCCACCCCTGTCGTCAATCAGCCAAAGCCGGGACCTGGGAAGTTAGCACAGAGCCTATCCACCATCCACAGAGTGGCAAGAATCAGGGCCTGTGGCAACACCTGCGAGGCTGCTGGTGGAGGTGCTGTCTTCTAGAACAGGAAGACAGTTCTCCAGGGTACCACAGTCCTGAAGGCACCTGGGGCTGACACTTTTCCTCTAGGGGTTTCGCGGTGACTCTGGAGGTCAGGAGACTAAGGACCCCAATTCATACCCTGCCCTCACTTCTCCAGCTTGTAGACTCACACTCACTGAAATCTTAAAACCCGGCACCAAGAGTCCTCTGGGGAGACTGCAGGGCCAAAGGGCAGCCTCACCCCACCTTTACTTTACAGCAGCTGCGTTTCTACACGCTTAACTATCGGCATCCCAGGAGCTGTCATCTGAACAAAAATTCTGTGGCTCAAAAAAGAAAGGATATCCCTGGTCCAGTGGCTAAGATGCTGTGCTTCCACTGCAGGGGGCACAAGTATGATTTCTGACTGAGGAACTAAGATCCCGCATGCCACACAGCATGGCCAAAAAATGGGGCAGAGGGGGGGAATGGTTTGAGACTACCGTATTAGATGACCTTAGGTGTAAGAGGGTCCTCACCCCTGTTTCAGCTTGGAGAAGTCTGTTTTCACTGGACTTTTATATTAGACATTGGAAAAGGAAATCCTACCGGGAAAACAAAAATAATCAAAAGCTACTGATTTAAATCAACCTTAGAGGAGCTCAGCTTTCAACCAGCAATCCTCCCACTAAGGCAGGTCTGTGAGTCAGAGGCCAGGGCCATCAGCCCCTCCTAGACTGCATAGCTGTGGCTTTCAAATCACCTTTGGCTTTTGCTCCCCACACCACTCCCCCAACCTGCACACACACCAGTCTTTGGAAATGAAAACAAAAGGCAAAAAAAAAAAAAAAGCTGCTGGAACAACCAACACCAACATCAATTAAAAAGCAAAACTCCTCTCAAAGCAGAACAAGATGTTCCATCAGCCTGGAGGGCCCGGCACCTCCTTCTCTGTCCAGTAAATGACTCTATATCCTTGCAGACACTCTAGGATCACCTCCTGCTGCCTCCAACACTGGAAGGCAGCTCCCCCAGCATAAAGTCAAATGTTCTCCCCCACCCCATACAACCTCCGGGACCTGTGTTGTGGACTAACCACCTGAGAATAAGCCTCTGGGGAGCTGGTCAGGAACCCATCTTCTTGTAACAGGAGGTAAAGCGGCAGGGCACAACTTCTGAAAGAATGACTGAACCCAAGGACACAATATAAACTGATTAGAATCAAACGGGACCAAAATGGCAGACAAGACTAGACCTTAATCAACAAGCCAAATGACACATCCAGAGGTGATGTGACAGTTCCACTGTTAAAAGACCAAGGAGTGGACGGTGGCCCAAATCCTGGAAATCTCCACCCCCTCCCAAAAACAGCTGGAATCATCCTCCCACTCTAACATAGGAAATTACCCAGCCTATAAAAACTAACCACACCAAATTTCACGGCGGCATCCGCCCTCTGTGATGGCCGGCACCCTCTAAATCTGAATAAAACCACTTCTTACCTATCATTTTGTCTCTCACTGAATTCTTTCTGTGATGAGACACCAAGAACCTGAACTTCATTGGGTCCTGAAACCAGGTACTATGGGTTTGGGCTGGGTTCGAGTCCCAGCCATGTGGGTTTAAGTCCCAAACTGGATTTTGTCTGGGTTCAAGTCCCAGTCTGAGGTAAACGGTTTCTAGCTGGATGGAGTGTGACAGACAGGAGTTTGATGAACGCTGTCAAAGGGAGCCCCAAGTGAGGTGCAACGCTAGAACTAGGGAGCAATCAGTTCACCTCACATTCCGTGCCCGAAAGATATGTCAGTTATGTGGTTGAACCACTACACAGAGTGAGAATGAGGTAAAATACGGCTAAGTTAGGCAAACCTGGGGTCTGACCTCGCTCTTCAGGAGTCAGATTCAATACCACCCCCTCAGGAAGGTTCCCCCCAGTTCCCAAGACCATGCTGGGTCCCTCATTATCTGTGCTCTAATCCTCTCCAATGAGCAGTCATCACACTTGGAACTAGAGAGTTTTTGTGCTGCTCCTGTAAACTCTGCCATGTTGGGGGCAGGTCTGTATCTCTGGGGTCTAAGCACTGTGCTTGACACATAACAGAGAATCAAGAAATCAATGACTAAATGAAATCAAAGAGTGAGGGAAATGAGTGTTTATTAAATTTTAGAAGCCAAGGCACAAGAGAACCTACCTTGAAGAATGTGGAATTAAAGGTCAAACAGCTACTCCTTTAGGTAAGTTGCCTGTGCATCAGGATCACTGGAGGCTTGTTGAAACATGGATTGTTAGACCCCAGCCCCACATCTGGGGATTCAGAATATCTGGGTGCAGACCCCGAATCTGTATGGTCACAAGTCCCTGGGTGCTGCTCATGCTGCTGGGCTGGGGACCACATTTAGGGAACTTTAGCTTAGGTACTCATTTGGCACCAACACGATTATAAAAATGGATCCACATGTTGGCAGGAAATTGTATTCAATCAGATAAATGCACTCCTTACTTTTGCAAAAAAAAAAAAAAAAGAAAAAAAATGTTTTTTTAAATTTCTATAGAGAACTCATGAACTCCCAAAGAGTAAGCACAAAAACCTAAGGATCTTCCAGATCTGGTCTAGGAGTGTTAATCCAAATAACAGTCTTGGTCCTGATTTTCTGATTAATGTATTGAGATTGAACAGACTTCTCCTTGCTTTTTTCCCAACTATGTTTAAAATAGCAAAAAGAGTCTTTGGTCAGATTTAAGGTGAAAATTACATGACAAACCAGAAGAAAATGCATTTTTTTCATTATTTCCCCCATTCAGCATTTTGGCACTTCAGCATTTCCCCAAAGCAGTTTGAAGGCTGCAATGGAAGTGATTAAGAAAGTAATTTTTCTGTTAAACCCCACTGCCCCTCCTTACCTCTGCATAATCAGCCACAAGGTAAAGCTCCACATACTTCATGGAGTGTAAATCTTCCCTTTTTATCTAAGGAAGAGACATAAGCACATCAGAGCTGTGGAAATGGTGGACTTGGCCTCATTTCAAAACACTGCTCAGAAGTGGTGGAGTTAATAAGCAATGAAACTCATTACCAGGTTCCAGAAACAACTCAGCTATGATCATCTAGCCATCACCCTCACTACACCTTCTGCCCGCCATCTTGGTTATCACTGGAGGCCGCTCTGGGACACTGGGTCCAGCCCTTTAGTCTCCAAAAATAATGAGCTGGCTGTCCAGCGCAGATAGAACAGAGGCCAACATACTGTGAGGGAACATGCTGACAATCAAATTCCCAAAAATATTTAAACCACGTAACTCTATTTTTGGTATAAATAAATACAAGCATTTTGTGCATGTGGTTAAGCAGCTATTTCAAAAAGGGAGGCATATATTTTTTTCCTCACATTTTAAAGTTTCTGAAATCAGCACCTTAGAGTATTTTAAATGAAGTAATGTTTTCCACCAAAGCAGTTATTCTATCAAATACAAGGGTTTCTCACACTCAACAATGACTTAGACTAAAAGGAAAACACTGGGACTTCCTTGGTGGTCCAGTGGTTAAGACTCCACGCTTCCAATGCAGGGGGTGCAGGTTCAATCCCTGGTCAGGGAACTAAGATCCCACATGCTATGTGGCACAGCCAAAAAATTATTTTTAAATAAACAAAAGGAAAAAGCTATTGCCTCCTTCTTAGCCATCTCCATTCAGTTTAGATCCAAGGAAAGGGTGCTCAGAAGGGATTGTCTCCTGGCTGACTCTTGTACTGAGAAACTCACCCTGCGAGGTCGCTTCTTGGTCTGGTTTGTAAACTGAGGGACCCAGTCCCTGGCGGTGGGCTCGAACCCACAGTTCCCGAGAGGCAGCTTGAGATGTTCGGATCTGTAAATACGGTGGTGGCTCTCGCTGTCAGGAAGGGGCTCGATGACGTAGCTGAGGTTACTACTCACTATAATCAGTCCTCTGTCGACAAGAGAATTGGAATCTCTGGTCAAAGACTATGGTCCTGGAAAAGCCCTTTGCTCGGGCCTCAGTTTCCCCATATGCAAAATGGCACAGCTGGTTTTGATCACTGCTTTTTAATCTTATTATGGGGTCGTGCACTCCCTGGTGAGAATCTGATGCAAACTCGGACCTCCTCTCCAGAGAAACGTATGTGGACAGGAGACGTGGTGCACAGTTTCAGGGTGTGAAAGCCTATCATGGAGAAACTTGAAGGTTCTAAAAGGGCTGGAACAGGGACAGTTAATACTTGTAAAGGATGGCAGAGCTAGAATTCCAAAAAGCTTCCCAATCCCAAACATGGCATACAGCAAATCACAGGTCAAAACTTTATAGGCTGAGAAAGAGATGGTATGTTGACCATAGGAAGAGTGCTGGTCTAGGGGAGAGGAGACCCAAGTTCTAATCTTAGCTCCAATATTAAATTGCCAAACGCTCTTCCACAAACTTCTTCAATCACTCTGTGCCTCAGTTTCCCCAGAGGCAACTGCCAATGTTAATTTTCTAACTTCACAGGACTCCTGGGACGATTAAATGGAAAGACAAGTATCTTTGCTTTTGGAAGCCAAAGCTACAGTCATCAGCTACCAGCCCCAATTCCCCTGGATCGGCAATGCAGCTCTGTGGTGGGGTGGTGGCCACAACCAAGCATATGTGACTACTTTTTCCTCTGGCTTACAGATGCTAGCCTTGAACTCAGAATAAAGATGTACATTTGTTCATTATATTCTTTCACTCATTGAGACCTTACTCTGTGTTAGATGTAATCTAGACACAATCCTTGTCCTTGAGTAACTCACATTCCATTGAATGAACAGACATTCATTCCACAAATGCTTCCTGCTATGTGCCAGGCATTGTGCTGGCAGGAGTAGTAAACAGGACAGATAAGATGCCTGCCCTCATGGAGCTTAGAGTCTGAACATGGGAATAAATCACTGTAGCATGTAACAGAGAAAGCAAAAAGCTTTCCCCACCCTTAACCCTGATGGATTGGACACAGCTGCGTGGAATGCTGCATCACTGAGGCTTCTGGGCCCTTTATCTGGATTCGGTGAGAAAGAGTGCCATGACTTATTATCAATCACTATCACCAATATCAATGGAAGGGACAGCAGAGACCCATGTAGCAGGTATCTACCATCCTTAACACTACAAGATGAAAATTAGAGCAAGGGAGTGTGACCAGGGCCCTGGGGAAGGGAGATCCCAGCAATGAATCCCAGGAGCCCCACAGCATTTTGTGTGCTCCAAAACCTCAGGCTCCATCCACTCAGAAATTTCAGAAGGTAAAGGACATGGCAGGACCTCTCTTAGGCTGTCTCAGCTTCCATCCCCACCCTGGACCCCTCCAGATCCCCGCCCAGGTTTTGCCCTTTGGGAAGAGCCTGCGAGGCTCTCAGGAGAGACAGCGCCAGGTCCTAGTCAGCAGCAGCCCTTCCTGGAATCCATCCCTGGTTGACCTCGTTCCAGTGCCAGGGAGCCTGACGACTTTCCGGCTGCCTCGCCCAGGCTGACACAGCAATCCCGAGCCAGCCCCCAGCGGGACACCTAAGGTGCTCTCTGAGCAGCTGGGGGTGGGGATGGAGCAAAGACTAGGGGTCACATCCGCTCCTGAGTCCAGACTGGAAAGGGCAGAGGGCAGAGCTGCTGCGGGCATCCTGTTCCCAAGCTATCTGCTCATCTCGGCTGACCAAGGCCCCTCCCAACCCCTCAGTTTCCCCCAAAGGCTGCAAACACTGGAAGCGAAGGGCCTGACCACAAACCAGGTGACAGCTTTGTCTGCATTCTGCTGTGGCTATGGAAATAACTCAGTGGGTGGAAAGTCCCGGTGTAGCTGACAGGGCATTGCCTGAACAAGCCTCTAGGCCAAATAGGACAGACCACACAGGATTCTGGTGCACAGTGAACAGCAATCGTGGTGGCTATAAATCACTGAGTCTGTGCTATCGACCATGCACTGTGTTAAATATTTTACTATTCATACAAACTTCTATGATTTTTACAAATATTATCCTCATTTTACAAATGAGAAAATTAAGGCTCAGAGAGGTTAATTAACTGACCAAAGTCACACAGACAAGAAGAACCTAAGCAGCCTGGTTCTATGTCCTGGGATCTTAACCATGACCTCACACTGATAGCCCTGTAGAGTTGCTGACAAAAATCAGCAACTCTCCTCTGAGGTGTGATTCGCCCTCATCCAGCTCATTCGTCTAAAGTAAGACACCAGCTGGGAGAGGCATTGTCTACTTTTCATTTTTAGACACCATTTTGGGGAGAGTTAATTATGTGCCAGGCTTCGCAGAGTAGAGTCTGGAGAAAAGAGTGCCCCTGCCAATGCAGGCGTTGCAGGTTCGATTACCAGGTTGGGAAGATACTCTCGAGAAGGAAATGGCTACCCACTCCAGTATTCTTGCCTGGAGAATTTTCATGGGCAGAGGAGCCTGGAGGGCTACAGTCCATGGGGTCACAAAGAGTCAGACACGAAGGAGTGACTTAGTACACAATTATATGCCAAGGGCTCTGCATACAATCATTCTTATTTCATTCCCACATTAATGCTATAAAGCACCATCATGGGTCCCATTTTATAGATAAGGAAACTGAGCCTCAAAGAGATTAATTAACAAACTCTCATGAGTATTGTGTGGCCAAAAATTTAAGGTCTGGCAGAGTCTAGACCCTACACCCTTAACCTCTGTGCTATCTGCCTCTATCAGTGAGTTTGAAACCTATGAGTCAGAGATAATAGGATAAAAGCTCCTAGAACTATCCATTAGAATACTCTACAGAATGTATTAAAATGCCTATGTCCTAGAGACTGTCATGCAGAGTGAAGTAAGTCAGAAAGAAAAGAACAAATACTGTATATTACCGCATATACGTGAAATCTAGAAAAAATGGTACAGATGAACCTATTTGCAAAGCAGAAATAGAGACACAGACATAGAGAACAAACATATGGACACCATGAAGGGAAAGGGGATGGTGGGATAAAGTGGGAGACTGGGCTAGACATACACTTATATACAATGTATAAAACAGGTGGCTAATGAGAACCTACTGTCCAGCACAGGGGGAGGGGGCCGGGGAATACCTGTGTCCAGGCCCAGTCTAGGAAATGCAGATTCTGTAGTCAGCATCTGCACTGTGAGCAAGCCCCACGCAATCCCCTGCATAGTCACACTCAGCAGCTCTGACCTGGAGCCCAGCCTCTGGAGGGTCCCGTCTTTTCACAGAGCCCCAAGCAATCCTGTTCCAGGGAGTGGGCAGATTACCACTGGAGAAACACAAGCTCAGAGGGACCTGAGGGTCCTTGAGCAAGAGGACTCCATGGCTGCTCTCCGCCCCTCCTTCATGTGGTCTCCCATAACTTGTCTGTGTCACAGCTGCCATCCCCCTACTCCCTAGGGTGGAGAAGAGGCAGGCAGGGACCCCCCCACGTCACAGGGGAGCCAGCTCTGAGAGTGGGGGGGATATGTGAGAACGTAGTTCCCAGGGGCCTCCCCTCTCACCACCCCCAAGCCCTGCTCACTGTCCTGCCCTGAGCACTCCCCAGTCATTTCTCCTCCTAAACATCTCTGTTGATCTAATTTGTGAAATGTAAGCACTGGCAGAGATTCGCCTGGGGGGTGCTTAGGAGGGGGACTCAGGAGGCTGGGTGGCCAGGACCTCACACGCAATTCTCCGCTCTGCCCGGCATCCTATTCCTCATTGTTGAGAGCTTGATACAAATGAAATTGTACAGAGGAAGCCTGGCAGGGCAGGTCAGACAGGCAGTGGCTTTAGCCCCTCAAAGACTGCTGGACTCGCTCAAATGCATCCTTCCAGGACCTAGGTTGGAGAACAGCTTCTTGGAAATTAGTCCTTCAGAGCTGAACCTAAAGGGGACGCAGCCTACAAGGCTACATCCAGAGCTTCCTTAAGAGGCAATCACTCCATCACCCTTCTTTCCTTCCCTCAAAATGTGCGTGCAAGTGAGAAGGAGGGGGTTTCAAAGGCAGCACCAAGGGGAGCCAAGAAGGCACATGGGTGATGTGATCCCTCCGGGATGGGGGTGGGAGCCTGGGCTCAGGAGGGGGAGCATACCTGGATTCAAAGTCTGGCTCTGCTGTCTGCTAGCTGTGGGGCATGGTACTCAACAAGACTGCCCTCTCATAGGGCTGCTATGAAAACTGAAGTCATAGGCAGTGCTTACTAACTAACCATTAGGGTAACATTTTAAAAGGACAGCTAATAGTCAATGGGCATGTATTATACATCAGACTGGTTCAAGGCATCTTATCAGTAGCCATTCAACACATGTGTACTGTGTGCACCTAACGTGTGCCAGGGACAGTTTTAGGCACTGGGGATGCAGCAGGCTTATATATATATAAAAAAAATCCCTGCTCTCAAGGAGGCTGCACTCATCATCTAGTGTAAACCCACCAATGATGTCACTACTGTTGCTCCCATTTTACAGATGAGAAAACTAATGCGAGAGATCTGAAGCACAGCATCGGGCTTTAAAGCAGGAACTGCCTGACTCCAGAATCCACACCTGGCACAACCTGACGCTGCCCCGTGAGGGTTTACTCGGTGCCTGACACACAGGTGGCCCGCCTCATTTGTTCTGCAGAAGAAAGGCCAGGCAGGCAAAGGGGCAGCCAGGCACAGCCTGGCTTCTTCTGTCCCAGGCAACCCGCCTCTCAAAACTCTGCCTCCTCTCCCCGTGGCGTAGAACTTCCGACACTGAAGGATCCTTTCCATGGTCTGGTCTACCCTCCTTTCTCAGACAAGAGGAACAAAAGCCCAGAGACACAGGAACTTGACCAAGGTCACTGAGTGAGGAGCTAGGGGCACATCCCAGGCCTCCTGTTGTCCTGGCCTCATTACCTATGGGCGGGCCCTGACGCCACTCTCAGCCCCCGACCCAGGACCTGCTCCTGCACCATGGGCACCATCTAGAGGGCTGAGTGAGGCTCATGGGAGGCAACAGCCTGGCCGATGTGAAGCCGGAAGGAAATGAAATCAACCAGAGAGAGGAACACTCAACAGATCACACAGCTGAGAGGTGTGAGGCGAGATCTGAAACTCAGATCTCTCGACTCTGAACTGTGAGCTCCTTCCAAGCCATCACACACATGTTTGCACATATCCTCCTGTGCTCACTCTCAGCTTTGTACTCTCTCCCCCAGAGTCTGAGTCTGGGGAGCTGGGGTAAGGCATAAGCACACTGAGTGGGGGCCCCAGAGCACTGAGGACACATCTGCTATAATCTGAGCGATGCATCAAACAGAGGACTACAGATGATCTACTGTGTGTCTCTGAAAAACTACATGTAAGTAAACCTGCCAGACATTAGTACGTAAGATACTATGCAACTATTAAAAGAATGGGTTTGATCTATGTGTGTCTAAGATATAATGTTAAATTGAGGGGGGGGGGGAAACTGACAGAATGGTATGTACAGGGTAATCTCATTTGGTTTGAAGAAATCATATATATATACACGATTGCGTATTTCAATTATGTATACCCCTCCAACAGTGATTACAGATGGGAAATGAGGTTGACTGAAAGGGCAGGACAGGATAAAGAATTTTCACTTCGTTTAGTTTTATACTCTTTGTATTAACTGACTGTTTAACACACCCATGAGTATATAATGATCACTTTTAATGAGTATTTTCTTTACAAATAGACCGATCATTCAGGTTAAAAAAATGTTTTTACTGCAATCAATACCTCTCCTGCTGACACACAGACAGTGAGCTGGGTAAGCTGAGGACACACGCATGGGCACACACACATGTACACACAGTGTCTACCGGATCTCACAGGTTCAGTCAAGGACCTCTCAGCCCAGCAATGCCTAGACTTCCTCACAGATAATCACTGCTCCTAACATTTCTACTTTGTGTGAATCTGCAAAGCATTTGTGCACACAAGATGCTATGCAGGACACTGAGATGAGTCCTTCATCGAAGACAGGCTTGGGGACTGTGGATACCACGCTGTTATCAGTTGCTAAATCATATCTGACTCTTTCCAATTCCATGGACTGGAGCCCGCCAGGCTCCTCTGTCCACAGAACTCTCCAGGCAAGAATACTGAAGTGGGCTGCCGTGCCCTTCTCCAGTGGATACTAAACATCCCTAAGAAATGGTGTGCCACATCTTTTCCTTGGTACAGTTTGTAAGTATCCACAGCTGCCACTCAAATCTCAAATGGGTCACTGGCCTAAACAAGATCACAAAGCATCATATCACATATCCATGTTCCTTTTTGGAGGGAGTATTTCTAAAAGGAAACACAAGAAAGTGGTTAACAATGACTACCTCTAGGGAGAGGGATTCAGGAAACAGGAAGAGACCTTTTCCACTGTACATTCTTGTATTATTTGAATTTGTTTTTACTGTGATCCTGTATTACTTCTTCAGTTAAATTAGCCTAAAGTACTGCCTGGGGGAGAAGAGGGGACCCAGCAACAGCCTAGAAACTTAGCTGAATTCCTCTGGATTTGGATCATCACCCTGAGGATCCTACTTGGTATAAATCCTACCTACTTTCTCCAAATCACAAAGTGCTTGTTTCCAGGAGAGAAGCACAATTGCTATGGAGATTTTCCATTGCAGCGTCACTTTATGAGCCTTGGTGGGGGGACAACGTGAGGGCTACATGGGTTTGAAGCCTGCTGCTGCTGCAGCTGCTCCTTCTCCAGAGTCCGAATTGAGCCATCTGGCTTGCGTTTCCAGCTCTTAAATCAGTCAGGCCCACAGACACCCTTGGTTTCTTAAGGTGCGTAGCGAGAAGGCTGGGAAAATAAGGCGGGTGGACCCCACCAGAGGTAAGCATGCCAAACAGAAACACATGGATGGCTCACTTGGTTTTCCCCTGTCAGCATGGCTGTGGGAATGATTTATAAGAGGCTGGGCCAAGTTCCAACTGCTGCAGACCAAGAGGACAGAGGAAGAGGCAGAGAGAAGTGAGTTGCACCTGCACGTTCCCTTCCGTCCTCCTTGGGACAGACGTTGTTTACTTGCATGCTGCAGGTGGTGGTGGCTGGGCCTGTAAACACCACTGGGAGTTGGCTGGGCTCAATCAGGTCACTTGAGCAGGGGATTTGGGGCCACTGTTATAGCCTCCCAGCCAAAGCTTGTTTCCTGCCTAATTCCCTCCGGCGGACTCAGCCTGAAGCCTTACAGAGGAGACATGGCTCGATTTATAAACAAACACATGGGATCAGCAGCATGATGGGCCTCACATTGGCATGTGAGCCTGGGTGAGTCTCAAAATGGCTTCACTGTGGTAAGATGATAGTAATCCTGTCTACAAGCTGTAGAGTTAACACAGCACTTAGCACTGTCCACCATGCCTATCATCCATGCCCACTTTACAGACGAGAGACTGAGGGCCCAGGAAATTACTTTTATATGCCTGTCTTCCCTCCACCTGTGTAGGGCACGGGCAGAGAGCAGACACCCAATATTAAGTTGCTGAATGAAAGGAGCAATCATCAGTGTCCATCAATGGATGAATGGATAAAAAAAGGTATGGTACATATATACAAGGGAACACTACTCAGCCATAAAAAAGAACAAAATAATGCTATTTGCAGCAACAAGGATGGACCTAGAGACTGCCATACTGAGTGAAGTAAGTCAAAGATAAACATTATGACATCACTTATATGTGGAATCTAAAAAGAAAAATGGTACAAATGAACTCATTTATAAAACAGAAACAGAGTCACAGAAAACAAGTGTAGAAAACAAGTGGGGGAAGGGATAAATTGAGAGACTGGGATTGATGTATATGTACTACTGTATATAAAACAGATGACTAATAAGTTCTTACTGTACTGCACAGGGAACTCTACTCAATACTCCCTAGTAACCTATATTGGAAAAGAAAGTAAAAGAGTGGATATGTGGACATGTAAAACTGACTCACTTTACTGTACAGCAGAAGCTAACCCCAAACACTGTAAATCAACTATACTCCAATAAAAATTAATTTAAAAAAAGAAATGATTATTGACTGAATCAATCAAGAGAGAAGAAGGGTACGCATAGGAACACCTCCTTCTGGCTCATGAGAGCCAACATGTGTATCTTTCCAATGATGCCTTTAGTAACATAACATTGACAGCTTTGAATTGGTCATGGTGGGAATATTTTTATCACCATATTAGCAAATGCTAAAAATAAGGGCTTTTCTTCTGTTTTTGTTTTCACAGAGCTAGTTTACCAACACACTGGGTACAGGTACTACATAGTATAGGAAATTAAAACTGAGGCAATGAGTATGGACAATTAGGTTTTTCAAATCATCATCCCTTTTCCAAAAGGAGGGGAGGGTGGGAAGAGTATAAATAAATGATATTTATTACTTCAATAGACATGTATAAATCCTACTATATGCAAAGCACCAGGGTAGGCTGGAGGACAGAAACAGATATTGAGACAGAATTCATCTTCTCAAGGGACACACATACTCAGGTATAAACTATAACTTGCACACCAGTCATCTGGGGATCCTGGTAGCAGGCTATGATGCAGTAGCTCTGTGTGGGACTTGAGATACTGCATTTGAACAAGCTCCTAGGTGATGTTGATGACACACCTCTTTGGGCCTCACCTAAGAAGCAAGGGTCTGGGAGGTGACCAAGTGCCCGTATGTACGGGCCAGTTAGCTATCTATTAGCACAATCTATGCTCTTGTGCTATCTCAATGTGCAATCCTCACAATATAACAGAGGTCTAGTTCCCTTACCCACATTTTACAAGTGACACAGCTGGTCAACTGCTATTGGCTCAAAGCCATGTTGTCTGGCTCAGAGAATGAAGTCACTCTCTTTCCAACATGCCTCTAGATGGAACTTTTCACATTTCCTGTCCTGAAGATTATCCTTGCTCCTCCCTTCTCTTCCTGCTCTTTTCACTAGCTGCCCATTTCCCTTTTTACTGCTTATAAGCATTTCTACTGGAAAAGAACAAAGGAGAAGTGGGAATAAATGCTCAAACTCATCAATTTCAAGTGTCCTTTATGTCCTGTATTTTGGTGCTTTGACATCTGGGACCTTGCCCCTGCCCCCAGGGTTAGCCAGTTCCCTGAGACAGAACTCACCAGTGAGCACAGCATGCTGTTCCAATGGGGCTCTCATTCTCTGGGCCACCACCCTCTTGCCTGCTTACCTCAGGGCCAGGTACCAGGCACCTAGGGACAGCCCCATGCCTCAGATCCCACTGAAACTATTCAAATTAACCAGTCCTAAGCCCACTTACCCACCTTGCCTGCTCTCTCCCACAGAAACCATGATAAAGACTTGCCCATATTCCCTCTACCCCTCTGCCTTCTGAGTGATGCTTGTGCCCCCCACCAAGCATGGCATGACCGGTCCTCTTGGGGTCTGGAGTATAACCATCTTTCTAACGGCAGTTGTCTAATACTCCGTTGGCTTCCACATACCCAAATAATAATAAAACCTCAAGTTCCCCAGGAAAGAGTATCTCAATCCCAGTGAATTTGTGGGTTATTTTTATCATCATCATGAAGGATTATCATTTCCGTTATCCCTCCCGCGCTCAGCCTTTCTCAGAGCTGGCTTGCACACAATCTCTATGGACAGCTTCTCAAAGTCCCTGCCCAAGGCCGGCCCCACTTGTCCTAAACAGTCCATTCTTGGGGCCTCTTACCTCATTCCCCGGCAGGTGCTGAGCGTGACACTGGACTGCTCCGCCTTCCTCACTGTCCCGTGGTAAAAGCAGTGATCCTAGCAAGGAGAGAGTGGCGGTCAGACCACAGGACACTGACAAGTCAGCCATGCCGGCATCCCGAGACAGTCAGGGACGACTGTACAACTACCATAACCTTAGATGTGCAAAGAGCTTTCCCAGCCACTGTTTTATTTGATCCTCATGATATTCCTGGGAGGAGGGACAGGGCAGATGCCATCATCCCCACTGAACCAGTGAAGAAGCCGAGGCTCAGAGGAGCAAAGGGATTTGCTGAAGGTCTCTCTGCTGGTTGGAGAAGCCAGGATTTCAGATCTCTTTCTAAGACATGATGCTGGTCACAGGAACACTGGCTTCCGAAAAGCTTGCCTCACCACTGGAGTCACCTCTGTGACCAGCCCCCATGAGAGCTGAACTGTGTCCCCACCAAAATTCACATCTACCCACTCTGCATTTCCAGTGTGGGGGGTACAGGTTTGATCCCTGTCAGGGAACTAAGATCCCACAGGCCATGTGGTATGGACAAAAAAAATTCATGTCTACTCAAAACCTCAGAATGTGATGTTACTTAGGACAGTGTCTTTGCAGATATAACTAAATCAAGATGAGGCAATACTGGACTAGTATCCTTATAAAAAGAGAAAAGGACACTGATACACACACATCAAGAAGAAGGCTATTTGAAGGTAGAGGCAGAGATTAGAGTGATGAAACTAGAAGCCAAGAGGTACCAAGGATGGCCAGGAGCCACTAGAAGCTGCAAGAGGCTATGAAGGATCCTTCCCTAGAGACTACAGTGAGAGCATGGCCTTGATTTTGAACTTCTAGCCTTCAGAGATGTGAATGAACGCATTTCTAATTGTCTTAAACCTCCAAGTTTACGGTACTTCACTGCAGCAGCCCTAGGAAACTGATCTATCACCCATCTTCCTTGGACCCGACCTGATTTTGCACCTGTGTCCATGGGCACTTGCAGGCCGGCTGCTGTGCTCCCACCAGGGCATATGTCACGGCCATCTGGGCTTCCCAACCCAGCTGGATTCCTCCTGGCTACACACTGCGATGTGCCAGGCCTGGAGCTAGGCCCTAAGACACCACAGTGAGCAGAGTCCAAACTTCATAGGACTTAGCATCTTGTGAGAGCCAGTTGTAGTTTAAAAGTCATACAAAGATATAAATCATAAAGAATGGCTTGAAATAAAGTTTGAGGTGTCAGCAGAGTGTTTGATAAGTAGGGTAGCCAGAGTATTTATGAGACAAAGCAGGACTCTGCTGAGAGTGATAAAGCGCTAAACCAGACAGACAGACACAAACCATGGCTGTCCTCAGCAGACCTATGGGTGATAACAAGGGACACATTCCTATAAACTTCGTCCCAAATAGGTCAAAAGAGATAAGTTGGAGCAAAGAGAAAAAAGGTAAAATCCCCAGAGCACAGTCTGGTTCTAAGGTCTTAAAAAGGATGTAAACTATGCAGTTGCAGACACGGAAGCCTTATCTTTCCCCACCAACGTCCTGTGAGCAGGGCCAATCAGGAATGTCTGGCATTCGCCCACTTAACAGTCTGAGTAAGCCATCACCAGGACCACACTTGACTGCGGTTGTTCCCTGGTCCCCAGCAGGCAGGCATGTGAACCAGGAGACAGTTAAGTAAGCCATTTGTCTACATTCTCCGGTTCCAGTACCAACCAGCTCTAGGCGTGACTGCAGTGTAATAAGCTTTAAATATATAAAGGGTCTTCACACACATCACCACGTGACATAATAACGCCTGCCATTTACTGTTATTAACAAGAGCCAATATCTACCCAGCTCCTGCTCCTGGATAAACAACTTACAGAGATTTTTTTTTTTCCCCTTTAATTCTGATCATAGTCTTATGAGGTAGATACTCTTATTCTCATTCTCATAAAGCTGGAGAGGTTTCAAGTCATTCACAGGGCCACAGTGCAAAGTGGAGATGCAAACCCCAGCAGCCTGACTTCAGGCTCCACAGTCAGCCTATCTTAGCAAAAGCAGACCCAGCAAAGTACATGGGCTTAATTTGTCAAAGCTCTATTATTGGGACTTCCCTGGAGATCCAGTGGCTAAGACTCCATACTCCCAAGGCAGGGGTGCCGGGGTTCAATATCTGGTCAGGGAACTAGATCCCACATGCTGCAGCTAAGAGTTTCCATGTTGCAACTAAGACCCGGCACAGTCAAATAAATATTAAAAGAAAAAAAGCTCTATTATCTTCCAACACTGACCCAGACTGAGGTGTTAGTCTAAGCCTTGCTGCTCACTGAGAGCAAGCAAAAAGGCATGCTCCTTTTTCCCATCTCTCTCAATTTCCTCATCTGTAAAATGTAGTGTTGGAAGAGATGTTTATAAATTCCCATAAAAATCAGTGATTCATCTTACCCTTCCATATCCCTGAGAGTCATATCTTAGCATATCCAATTTTCAGATGAGGAAACTCAGCGTTAATATGGCTGAAAGGGTTTTTCAGGTCACGCGGCTGGTTAAAGCCAAGACTAAAACCCTGGCTTCAGACCCCAAACTCTGCAACTTGGTTCTACTGGAACACACTCACAGACCATTCCCCCAGTGACCTGACCTAGATCGGGGCTGGGACCCGCGGGCCTGGCAGTGAGCAGGATCAGGTTCCCAGAACTCCCACTGCCCCCAGCCAAGTTTTGTGGGAGAGTGTGGTCCATGACACTTGGGTCAACTGAAGTAAGTGGTTTATCCCATTCCCATTTCTCTTTGGGTCTTCAGCTCCTAAATGAGAATGCTGACTTGGAGTCCCCGGGGCTGGGTGGGGGCTTCGCAAGAGCCCATGAGGAGGGGATGCACTGAACAGGAAAGCAGTCGCCCCTACTTTAGCTGGGATGCACCCTGGTCAACAATAGCTTTGGGAAGGAGGGGCTGTCTGGGAGGGAGGGGAAGTTCTCTCACGGCCCTCTGTTTCTCAAAGGCCCTCACAAGACCTCTGCCCAATCCTGAGAGCACAAAGAACAAGCACATGAACACAACAGCCATGAAGTCATCGAATTCCTTCTCGGTTTCGCGGCCCGAGGGGGCCACCCTGAGGGGGCTTTCGTAGCAGGAAGCATGAGCTCATGGCAGACTCATGCACTGAGACCCATTCTTCGGCTCTGGGTACAGAAGTGCAGGAGCCCAACCCAGAGGAGGGTGCTTTGTGAGGTCACAATGGCGAGGGGCTTCCGAGGCTTGTCCATCCCCTCCCACCTCGGTGGGGACAGAGAACCAAAGTCTGAAGGGAGGAAGCAGTTTCAACCAGGGGCCATGGAAAAGGTGTGGAGCCACAGCTGGCCAGCTCCCCCAGAGATGAAAGGACATGGGCTACTTTGCTGCAGTCACTGGCCACTCCCTCCCCACCCAGGAAGGTCTGTGAAGAAGGCAGCACTGATCCTCACATCCAAAGATCCAACATAGCCCCGCAAATGCCTACTTACTACAGACCTCACAGACCCCATCGAAAAATAACTGTCCTGTGTCCCTCTCCTCACTCAAGGGCGATCTGATCAACTCATCTGTGCTGTTAACAACTGACAGTGGCTGTCATCGTCTTCTAGGCTATTCTAAAGACTGGCAGGGCTATTTTAAAGATGGGGTCATGTGGGAATCTCGGGTTCCACAGGAAGCTGTTGGAGGGGCACTGAGGCACTGTGCTGCCTACACAGCACACCTCCAAGGTCTACACCCATGAAAGCCCCTGATGCCCGACCCCAAAGGCAAAAGACACTGCTCCTCCTGCCTGCATCCATCTTCCCTTCTCCTTCACCCCTGCTTTTTGGCATAGAGTCTGAGAGTGCTAAGTCACTTCAGTTATGTCCGACTCTCTGTGACCTTACGTACTGTAGCCTGCCAGGCTCCTCTATCCATGGGACTCTCCAGGCAAGAATAGAGTCTGAGAAAGATCACTCAAATCTGGAATTTCTCAACTTGGGCACCACTGACATTTGAGACAGGATAACTACTGTGGAGGGATGCCTGTGCACTGGAGGGTAACTGGCACACCCCGGCCCCTACCCACCAGACAGTAGCAGCCACCTCCCAGTCATGACAATCCAAACTATCTCCACACATTGCCAAGCCTCCCCTCCTCTGTTGGCTAACATGGCCAAAGAAACCAACAGAACATTTTAGTTTATTTTGCACCTGATCAAAATTGGTATAAATCATCATGAAGCATATTTTCCTTGCTTTATTAAGTTACCAACAAATTCAACAAAGGTTTTAAGAAATGACTTAAACCAAAATCACTCCTAATTGAGAACCACCACTCTAATCCTACAAATTCTAATAGGTTACCTGTAGGAAAAGCTAGCAAATCATGAAATGTGTGTGATTCATGAGCTTAAATGTCCACCAGTGACCAAATGGCATGATGAAGCAAACTAAAAGACTAAAACTGAAAGACCAGCTTTTAAATGACAAATCTTTGTACAAGGGACTTCCCTGGTGGCCCAGAGGTTAAGAGTTCATCTTTCATTGCAGGGGCTGTGGGTTCGATCCCTGGTTCGGGACCTAAGATGCTACCTGTGGTTGCTGTTTAGTTGCTAAGTCATGGTCCACTCTTTTGCAAGCCCATGGACTGCAGCCCACCAGGCTCTTCTGTCCATGGGAATGCCCAGGCAAGAATACTGGTGTGGGCTGCTATTTCCTCCTCCAGGGGATCTTTCCAGACCAGCGATCAAACCCTTGTCTCCTGCATTGCAGGTGGAATCTTTACTGCTGGGCCACCAGGGAAGCCTAAGATCCTGCATGACGGGCAGCAACTAACCCACACACCACAACTAGAGAGCCCAAACACTGCTACTAAGACCCAATGCAGCCAAAAATAAATGAATTAAAAAAAAATTTTTTTCTTAAATTTCTGTGCTAACAGTCAGAGTCAATTTTGAGGGAGAAAAATAGCCAATATGAAAACAGCAGCAAAATAAGAAAATCTTCACATCCAAAACTCACACTGACAAAGCAGACCACAAAACTTTACCCACTCATATGAAAAAGCAACTAACACCTGATTGGGTGAAACAACAGCAAATCATTTGTTTTACTTAGATTTTTGTTAGGATGTGGGTAATTCAGTGATTTGTATCAATTTTAATCAGATGCAATAAGCTTAAAATATGGTTTATTTCACATTTTTAGCCAGCAAAGCATTATGAATCCATGAAACAACAAATTCATATGTTGTTTTTCCTGCTCATTCCCTGGATCTCAGTCAGGGAAAACAGTTCCTTCAGAGGAGGCATTGTCTTCACTGAGCTTCTCTCCTGGCTTCCTAGGGGTGAGGTTGGGACAGGGAAGCTGCCCGGGAGATATGTGTTGATCTGAACTTACCTGGGATTTCAGGGTGGTGGTTTGAGCATCGCCACTTGGAGTATAATGAGTTTCTGCGTAGGCTGGAGCAAAAAGGTGCCTGAATAGAATAAAAAAAGACATTTGTCTCCTTAGAAGATAGACTTTACCCTCCTGGGAACAGTAGCCAGAGATTCTAACTGAACTTGGTAGAACTACCCCCAAGGATCTCCATGCAAAAGGAACAGGGCAGCCTTATGGAAGAGCTTAAGGAATAAAAAGAAAAACAGAATGAAGGTTGTTATGAATTTTGTGTTCACTGGGATCATCACTTAATCCAGCCACAACCAGATGCTGCTGACCACCAAAGCAGTGATATTAGATCTTAATTTGTTCTGGGTCCTGGGAAGATCATGTGCAAACACACTCACAGAATTTCCCAGGGTCTATGGACCCTACTGTATACCTTAATTGATTATTTTTCCAGCACATCCACTAACTTTTGGTATCAGCACACCAACCATTCTTTAAGGGAATCCCTCCTCCCTGTTGCAGGTTTTGTTAAGACTGACAATCAAGGTATCCTACCTAGCCTTGGCCCATTGTGCAAGCCAAGCCAATGGAGTAATGCTGCAAGAACGTAACAGATGGGAGCTATTTATCTGCTCCTTTGTTCCTGCTGCAAGGATTCTGGAAGTTTCCTTGCCCATCTTTTATGAGACCTAATGGTTCAGATTTCCTGAGACCTGGTTCTGTGTGTTACCTTTTCAATATTTCTTTTTTTTCCTTTGTAAAACTGGATGTTGGTTTCTCTCCTGTTACAGACCTCTAGAAGTTGAGGTTAAGAATCCCTCGCCCAAGCAAGGTGACCCCAAATAAGGCTTTTAGAGAATTTCTCTGAAAGTTAAAAGAGAAATAAAAATGCCAAATGGATTCTTCAACTAGTTCAGCCACATTAAAAGCAGAATGAATCTAAAGAAAATCAAGGTCAGGAAGCAAAATGGTTTTCAATGGAAGGCATCATTAAAAACTGGACTCTAACAAAAAAGAATTAAGTGGATCTATATCTTTTATTAGGGAAAGATGTTTAAAATGGAGCCAGATAAAGAAAAATTTCAGGAAAGTATGTACTTTTAAAATCCCTTTAAATGAAAAAGTAATAGCAGTATACACTAGGGCATGCATTGATAATAGCTGGAGAAGGACACGCCTATCAGTAGTGGTAGTGATCTCAGGGGATTACAGAAGATGTTCACAATGTAAGCTGTATATTTCTGAAAAACTGGCTGATTAAAAAAAATAATTATCATGTATTTATTTTGAAAACGGAAAATCTAATTTGAAACTGCCTTTTAAAAAAGAAAAAAATACAAGCTGAGGCCAGCACAGAAAGCCAAAGGAATCCGCAGGGACCACCCTGGTTTTGTAAGAGGTGACATTTCCCACAAGACAGGGTCACTGAAGAGGGTTTCTAGGGTCACTCCAGAGTCACTTCCAGCTCTAAGTTCTGGGACTCGAGACTCTCAGATTCCCCTCCGCCCACAGAGCACAGTCAGAAGGCAAATGCCACAAGGATCTTCTCCTGCATGATATCAAGCCCTTCAACATCCAGCCTTGAACAAGAAAAGAAACTCAGTAGGGAGATGTAAAAACAAAGCAAAGCAGAAAACCTAGTTTGTGTAGAGAAACTCCAATTCACATGGCAAGTTTGGGTCAGTAGCTAAATTGCCAGATTCTTTCTTCCTCGTTCTCTTTAACATCTAACCAGCCAAGGATCTAAGGGAAGAGTCACTTATTTGTCTGAAGGAGATAAACTCTAAGCCCCATGAGGACAGAGGCCAAGCTGTTTGCCCACCAGTATATATCGAGGCTTAACATTTACTCAAAGGAAGGATGTGTTAGCTAATTACTGAATGAATGAATGAATGAATGAAGGAGGTATTCACTGAGCATGCTAGGAGCTTAGGGCACGGTGCGGAACCTGAGACTAAGCTTCAGCCCCTGCTCTGACATTTACTATCTCTATAGCCATGAGGGAGTTACTTTACCTCTCTGAACCTCTGTTTCCTCTTCTGCAAAAACCCTTCTGCTCAACAGAGTTGTCATCAGAGTAAAATGACATAATGCATGAAAAGAGCTTAAAATCAGGCCTGGCTCAGAGTGGAGCTCAGGAAATGTTAGTGATTATCACAATTGCTTTCAACGGGGATTGTGATGGGAAGAACCGAGAAAAACTGGCGGAATTTACCTATTTCCTTCCAACTCCCCCCAGCCATTAACTCCCCAGTATATCACTTGAAAGAGGCGAGAAAACAATGAGCTCATTCCTGCAGCCCATTTCTGTGGTCTACTTTCACAGACTGCATAATGGACAGCCAGTCAGGAGTTCAGAATCTAATGGTTGATCCCGGGTGCCAGACGTGAATGTTTCCACAGTAAGTGCACTCCTGGAAACACATCCTCAACCCCTTCTGCATCTTGGGAGTTGGGGGGTGGGGTGGAATATTCATCTAGTAACACCAGGATGATTCAAAAAAGAGAGCAATCCAGACAACCTCAGAGGAGTCCAAATGCTTGTCAGTTCTCAGCCACATATCCTCAGAAGGGTGAGCATCTTTCTAAACCTTCTTGTTCTGAGGTTCTGCCTCTGTCACTCATAGCCTCAGCATTGAGAGAGACCTCAAGAATCATTAAGCCACACTCGCTAGACTATGTGTTCCTTGAGAGCAGGGAGCACACGGCTGCCTTGTTCAAGGCTTCTCCTCAGCTCCTAGCACCAGGCAGGTTTATTCTGTGAAAAAGTAGATGCATGGATAAATGAACAAACGAATGAATCCTGTACTTTGTGTAGGGATCTGCCAAATGGCCATCCTGCACTGGACATCTCCAGACCACCCACTCCATTCCTGACCACATACAGTAGTTAGAGAAAGTTGTTACACTGAACCCTTTCTCTGTAATCTGTACCCACAGGCCTCATTCTGTCTTCTGAGTCTACATGAAACAATTCTTCCACCTAACTGCCCTTTTCAGGATCAGCAGCTTCCGCATCACCTAGGAACTAGTTCAAATGCAGATTGTTAAAAAAAAACAACAACCAAAAAACAATGCAGATTGCCTGACCTCATCCCAGATGGCCCGAAGAACACAGAAACTGATACTGCGGCCCAATCATCTGTTGTAATAACTCTTCGAATGATTCTCATGCAGAACCACTACCCTAGACAACAAGTTCTCAACATATTTTTAAGGCAGACAAACTTCAGAAATATCCACCTGTATCACCTTTCTGCATCCATCACACCCTGTATCTTTCTGAGCTAAAGAAACCCCAAAAAGTTGCCATCAAAATAGCTCATGTGTATTTATTTAAGTGTGAAGTCATTTCACCTTCACAATACACCTATGAGGACACTGCGACCTCAAGACCTGTAACTTGTCCAAGCTGTCACAGCACAGCATCAGAGGCAGGTTTCAAAGCCAAGTCTGTTAGACCAGACCACTTTTTAAGCAGTTGTCTGCTCTGTCTCTATTAGAAGTGATAGTTGAGTGATAGTTGCTCAGTCATGCCTGACTCTTTGCAACCCCATGAACTGTAGCCTGCCAGGCTCCTCTGTCCATGGAATTCTCCAGGCAAGAGTACTGGAGTGGGTTGCCATTTCCTTCTCCAGGGAAGGAAAAAGCATATTAGAAGGCAGAAGCATAAAACGAAACCATTGTCAACAGTAGTCCAAGGCACAATTTCATGGTGATGACAGCAGCTTTGAGAACATGTGATGCCACAAAAAGGGGGCTCCTGGCTCTTAGATGTGAGAATATATGCAGAGAAGAGAAAAGGGGTAGCAAAGCACAAGGCAAGATAAAGAGGATGGACATGTAAGGACTTCAGCGCTACTTCAGTTGCTTTTTTTCTAAATAACCCTTTCCCCAAATGAGGGTGCAATATTAGCCAGGAAGGTTGTCCTTCCTTTTAGAAGCAAAAGGAAGCGTCATGTTTCATCACCACCATCTGTGCAATTGTACTGATTCATAAAACCCTGCTTTAAATGTTCCCCAGTGCCCCCAAGCTAGGTCCATCTATGTCCCCATGCCTAGGAGGTGCCTTGGCACTGCTCTAAGCACCAAAGACAATCCCCTCAGAGACAGGGCCGCAGAGCCGCTGAGCAGCCCAGCTCAGCCCAGCCGTCCCTTCTCCAGCCACATCTTGTTCTCATCTCCTCTCTGACAAGGGGCTGGCTCAGCAGATCTGCAGGAAGCCGTCTCTCACCACTGGAGTGTATTAGGTTTTTCAGGAAACGAGTTGTGAGTGATGTGCGTCCAGGAAGAGAGGACTATCCAAGATTTCCCACCCAGCCCCCTCCTTTTTCTGGCTTTGATGGAAAAGCAGTTTCTGAAGAAGTGCCTCCCACCCGTGCCCTCGGGGCTCACAAGCCCGTCGGCAGGCAGAGATCACACACCATCCCAAGGCTCACTGCAGTGCTCACTTTGGGAGAAAGCAGTGCTCACTTTGGGAGAAAGCCTGGCCGCCCTGGCCCCAAAGTCCTCAAGCAATCTCCTGACTCTTTGCACCTTCTAAAACCCAACTAGGAAAATAAACTGTCCTCCAACTACTGGACATAAAATGTAAGGTTACTCTCCAGAGGAAGACAACAGGATTGCCCATGGTGGCCTGGAAACTGTACACTCGGCCAGACCCCAAACACTCTGCAGTCGCAACAGCCCTGACTCGCCTTTGCCAAGGCTCACAGCCCTCAAATCCAGAACTGTCCCCTAATGCTTACGTGTTATTGTTTAGTCGCTAAGTTCTATAGACTCTTTGCGACCCTATGGACTGCAGCCCGCCAGGCTCCTCTGTCCATGGGATTCTCCCAGCAAGAATACTGGAGTGGGGAGCCTTCTCCAGGGAATCTTCCCCACCAAGGGATCAAACTTTCACATTGCCTGCTTGGCAGGCAGATTCTTTACCACTGAGCCACCAGGGAAGCCCGTAAGGGCTATGGACTTGTCAGAACAATTTCAAATGCTTCTCTAAGCTTCTCTAAAACTCCTTCTGGGTAAAGAGAAGTGACAGGACTAAAACAAATTTGCAAAACATCTTCCTGAGTTCAATCCCCCTACCCT